CAGGACGAGTATCACGTGATTCACAGCTGCCCTAGATCTGAAACCAAAATAATTTACAGGAAGCCTCTAGTCCTCAATAACTGACCATCAAACATAATTCGGACATGTTGCATTTTCGGTACACTTTTCCCTGAAATCCGCAGTAAATATATAAAATAAAGTAAATTTGGCGGTGAGAGCCCATTTTGTTATGCCATTGTCACGTGACAGATACACCCCACACACCTGAAACCAAAATAGAGTGTAGGCGGGACACCACTCTTTAAGGTGTCATCGGCGATTTGACTTTTTCTTCTACACTGTTTGGTACACTTTGTCTCGAAGTTTAACTTAAGTTTAATGTCGTACAACCGTAAAATGCTATTTTAGAACGTTTTTTTCTCAGGACGAGTATCACGTGATTCATAGCTGCCCTAGATCTGAAACCAAAATAATTTACAGGAAGCCTCTAGTCCTCAATAACTGACCATCAAACATAATTCGGACATGTTGCATTTTCGGTACACTTTTCCCTGAAATCCGCAGTAAATATATAAAATAAAGTAAATTTGGCGGTGAGAGCCCATTTTGTTATGCCATTGTCACGTGACAGATACACCCCACACACCTGAAACCAGAATAGAGTGTAGGCGGGACACCACTCTTTAAGGTGTCATCGGCGATTTGACTTTTTCTTCTACACTGTTTGGTACACTTTGTCTCGAAGTTTAACTTAAGTTAAATGTACAACGTTACCGCAAAATGTTATTTTAGTACGACTTTTCTCAGGACGAGTATCACGTGATTCATAGCTGCCCTAGATCTGAAACCAAAATAATTTACAGGAAGCTTGTAGTCCTCAATAACTGACCATCAAACATAATTCGGACATGTTGCATTTTGGGTACACTTTTCCCTGAAATCCGCATTAAATATATAAAATAAAGTAAATTTGGCGGTGAGAGCCCATTTTGTTATGCCATTGTCACGTGACAGATACACCCCACACACCTGAAACCAAAATAGAGTGTAGGCGGGACACCACTCTTTAAGGTGTCATCGGCGATTTGACTTTTTCTTCTACACTGTTTGGTACACTTTGTCTCGAAGTTTAACTTAAATGTACAACGTTAATACCGCAAAATGCTATTTTAGTACGACTTTTCTCAGGACGAGTATCACGTGATTCATAGCTGCCCTAGATCTGTAACCAAAATAATTTACAGGAAGCCTCTTGTCCTCAATAACTGACCATCAAACATAATTCGGACATGTTGCATTTTCAGTACACTTTTTCCTGAAATCCGCATTAAATATATAAAATAAAGTAAATTTGGCGGTGAGAGCCCATTTTGTTATGCCATTGTCACGTGACAGATACACCCCACACACCTGAAACCAAAATAGAGTGTAGGCGGGATACCACTCTTTAAGATGTGATCGGCGATTTGACTTTTTCTTCTACACTGTTTGGTACACTTTGTCTCGAAGTTTAACTTATTAAGTTTAATGTCGTACAACCGTAAAATGCTATTTTAGAACGTTTTTTTCTCAGGACGAGTATCACGTGATTCATAGCTGCCCTAGATCTGAAACGAAAATAATTTACTGGAAGCCTCTAGTGCTCAATAACTGACCATCAAACATAATTCGGACATGTTGCATTTTCGGTACACTTTTCCCTGAAATCCGCATTAAATATATAAAATAAAGTAAATTTGGCGGTGAGAGCCCATTTTGTTATGCCATTGTCACGTGACAGATACACCCCACACACCTGAAACCAAAATAGAGTGTAGGCGGGACACCACTCTTTAAGATGTGATGGGCGATTTGACTTTTTCTTCTACACTGTTTGGTACACCTTGTCTCGAAGTTTAACTTATTAAAGTTAAATGTACAACGTTACCGCAAAATGTTATTTTAGTACGACTTTTCTCAGGACGAGTATCACGTGATTCATAGCTGCCCTAGATCTGAAACCAAAATAATTTACAGGAAGCTTGTAGTCCTCAATAACTGACCATCAAACATAATTCGGACATGTTGCATTTTCGGTACACTTTTTCCTGAAATCCGCATTAAATATATAAAATAAAGTAAATTTGGCGGTGAGAGCCCATTTTGTTATGCCATTGTCACGTGACAGATACACCCCACACACCTGAAACCAAAATAGAGTGTAGGCAGGACACCACTCTTTAAGGTGTCATCGGCGATTTGACTTTTTCTTCTACACTGTTTGGTACACTTTGTCTCGAAGTTTAACTTAAATGTACAACGTTAATACCGCAAAATGCTATTTTAGTACGACTTTTCTCAGGACGAGTATCACGTGATTCATAGCCGCCCTAGATCTGTAACCAAAATAATTTACAGGAAGCCTCTTGTCCTCAATAACTGACCATCAAACATAATTCGGACATGTTGCATTTTCGGTACACTTTTTCCTGAAATCCGCATTAAATATATAAAATAAAGTAAATTTGGCGGTGAGAGCCCATTTTGTTATGCCATTGTCACGTGACAGATACACCCCACACACCTGAAACCAAAATAGAGTGTAGGCGGGACACCACTTTTTAAGATGTGATCGGCGATTTGACTTTTTCTTCTACACTGTTTGGTACACTTTGTCTCGAAGTTTAACTTATTAAGTTTAATGTCGTACAACCGTAAAATGCTATTTTAGAACGTTTTTTTCTCAGGACGAGTATCACGTGATTCATAGCTGCCCTAGATCTGAAACGAAAATAATTTACTGGAAGCCTCTAGTCCTCAATAACTGACCATCAAACATAATTCGGACATGTTGCATTTTCGGTACACTTTTCCCTGAAATCCGCATTAAATATATAAAATAAAGTAAATTTGGCGGTGAGAGCCCATTTTGTTATGCCATTGTCACGTGACAGATACACCCCACACACCTGAAACCAAAATAGAGTGTAGGCGGGACACCACTCTTTAAGATGTGATGGGCGATTTGACTTTTTCTTCTACACTGTTTGGTACATTTTGTCTCGAAGTTTAACTTAAGTTTAATGTCGTACAACCGTAAAATGCTATTTTAGAACGTTTTTTTTCTCAGGACGAGTATCACGTGATTCATAGCTGCCCTAGATCTGAAACGAAAATAATTTACAGGAAGCCTCTAGTCCTCAATAACTGACCATCAAACATAATTCGGACATGTTGCATTTTCGGTACACTTTTCCCTGAAATCCGCATTAAATATATAAAATAAAGTAAATTTGGCGGTGAGAGCCCATTTTGTTATGCCATTGTCACGTGACAGATACACCCCACACACCTGAAACCAAAATAGAGTGTAGGCGGGACACCACTCTTTAAGGTGTCATCGGCGATTTGACTTTTTCTTCTACACTGTTTGGTACACTTTGTCTCGAAGTTTAACTTAAGTTAAATGTAACAACGTTAATACCGCAAAATGCTATTTTAGTACGACTTTTCTCAGGACGAGTATCACGTGATTCATAGCTGCCCTAGATCTGAAACGAAAATAATTTACAGGAAGCCTCTAGTCCTCAATAACTGACCATCAAACATAATTCGGACATGTTGCATTTTCGGTACACTTTTCCCTGAAATCCGCATTAAATATATAAAATAAAGTAAATTTGGCGGTGAGAGCCCATTTTGTTATGCCATTGTCACGTGACAGATACACCCCACACACCTGAAACCAAAATAGAGTGTAGGCGGGACACCACTCTTTAAGGTGTCATCGGCAATTTGACTTTTTCTTCTACACTGTTTGGTACACTTTGTCTCGAAGTTTAACTTAAGTTAAATGTACAACGTTAATACCGCAAAATGCTATTTTAGTACGACTTTTCTCAGGACGAGTATCACGTGATTCATAGCTGCCCTAGATCTGTAACCAAAATAATTTACAGGAAGCCTCTAGTCCTCAATAACTGACCATCAAACATAATTCGGACATGTTGCATTTTCGGTACACTTTTTCCTGAAATCCGCATTAAATATATAAAATAAAGTAAATTTGGCGGTGAGAGCCCATTTTGTTATGCCATTGTCACGTGACAGATACACCCCACACACCTGAAACCAAAATAGAGTGTAGGCGGGACACCACTCTTTAAGATGTGATCGGCGATTTGACTTTTTCTTCTACACTGTTTGGTACACTTTGTCTCGAAGTTTAACTTATTAAGTTTAATGTCGTACAACCGTAAAATGCTATTTTAGAACGTTTTTTTCTCAGGACGAGTATCACGTGATTCATAGCTGCCCTAGATCTGAAACCAAAATAATTTATAGGAAGCCTCTAGTCTCAATAACTGACCATCAAACATAATACTGACGTCCTTCATTTTCGGTACACTCCTCGATGAAATCCGCATTATTAAAAAATATATAAAAATTTATCATATCAATAATGTTGTTTATTGGCCTCCGTACTTTATGAATACGCGGCTGAATACACGGCTGAATACGCGGCTGTGGTATCTGGCCGAATACGCGGCCAGGTTCACTCAGGTTCCATAATGCCTAGGCGCCCGCCTAGTTTTTGTTTTGTACTACCATTTTAGTGGGGGACGAGGTTGCTCACGGGGGTGACCGTTTGAGCCGATTCTCGGCTAACTTTGACAGAATTTTTGTTTTAAAACGAGTTTGACAGAAAATTTGACAGAATGGATTTTTTGGTCAGATTTCTGGCAGAATTCTGCAAAAATGGTTATTTGACAGAAAACAGCGAATTTGAACAAAAAAGTGTCCGTTTGTTTAAAAAGCTTCAATCCTTTCAAAAAATCCTTGCATCAATGGGACAGGTTGGCTGGTTTAGGTGCTGAGGTTCACTGCAAAACGGACTTCGTCGTGGCATGGGGATGGCCGGATCTGCGTTTTGCCCGAAATTAACCAATAATTTCACAACATCTTTATGTTACTAGATTGTTTATTATGTAATTTGAATCTTCAATTAAGGCAATACTACAAATCTGCATGTGATTTTAAGTGTTTATAGTGTATTTCGAGTAATTCTAGGGAATTTTGCAGATTTTTGATAAATCTGACAGATTTTTGATGTGCATTTAGCAGAATTTGGCTCTGACCTTACGGTCACCCTGTTGCTCGCCTACAAGTTGATAACTTCTGTTGGGTTTGCGAGGGTGAGTTCACTCAAATTTCAGTCCCGCTTTAAAGGCCTCTTTCTTGCATTTTTTTGGTGCAAAGTTGGTAGGCCTAGGTCTCCGGTTTATGTAGACAATCATAAAAATTGCCTTTTTTTAACAGGTTTAATTCGTTGTTGTTTTGTTTTGTTTTTCAATGAGAAGATATTTCGAAAGATTCCCATATCTGGCTAGACCCGTGAACGTGGCGTTGTATACAACGCCACGTTCTTGTTTCATTTCGAACCTGGCGAAATCGATCCGACATACATAATTCCGTTTGGGTGTTGAGTACTCACCTACAAATCTAAATTTGCCCGTCCGATTGTTTCGGTTGTGTAATTTCGACGAAATTTGCCCATCAGTAAAGACCCATACGAACGTGTAGAAATTAGATTTTAACCTGACCATGACAAATAACCCCGGACGCGTCTGAGTCGCTTGGACAGATTGACGGCTGTTTCATGTCGCAACCCTGAAACCCCCCCCCCCCCCCCCCCCCCCCCCCCCCCGCAGACGATTGGCTGCTCGGCTCATCTCGTGTACAGTACGTGTGTGCACACACACGCGGGCGCACGTGCGACCGCGTGCAGTGCGGTGAGAGAGGAAAGGACTTGAAACTTGTCTAAAACGATGTCTGTTTTAGCTGCGACAGTAAACAGCCGTCGAATCATACGAAAATAAAACGCAATGCGCATGCGTCAGTTGGGAGAAAATGGCAGCTAGCAGTAGCGGACGGACTTCATGAACCGGGGCCAGAATTTTCCTCAATTTTCGTCAAATGCAAGTTTTGACGTACAAATAGAATTCAAGACAGCTTCATATGTGAGTACTTATTACATGGGCAAAATAACGTCCAGTGTGTGTAACGGAGGGAGTCAGAAGGACACGTTCGCCAGGTTCGAAATGACATAAGAACGTGGCGTAGTTTACAAGCCACGTTCACGGGTCTAATATCTGGCTAGCCCTAGTCCGAGTAACTTGGACCCAACTTATCGCCTTTTTTAACATTTGGACATGGTCTGGCGATATCGCCAGACCATGTCCAAATGTTAAAGACTCCCACTCCGTAGCCTCGTAGCCGCCAACAGGGTGGTTGGTTTGGACTTACACATTTTTTCAGCAACTCCCATTCATTTTGTGTTGCTTCGTTCTCAAATAATGGACCCCGGCCCCACTCAGTATCCGCGTAGCTGGCAATGGACTTGAATTGTTTCTTTTGCAGTGATTCCAACCTCGTAGCCAGTGATTTTAGGGGTGTATTTCCGAGTGGCGGGGTATTCTGCAATTACTCCAAAAGGCGATAAGTTGGGTCCAAGTTACTCGGACTAGCTAGCCCCATAAATGTGGCCTATTTACTGGACTGCCTCCGTAAACATAGGCCACACATCCACATGTACAAAAATCGTGTCGACTTTGCCAAATTTTGATTTTCACATTTAGGCTTAGTTTGTAGGATTTTTTAGCTTTAGAAGCATTCTCACCCTCTATATAGGCTAATCAGAAAGTGCTGCCTTTTTCAGATGTCTAATTTTTGTGAAATTTCATGTTGAAAACGTGTCGACTTTGCCAAATTTTGATTTTCACATTTAGGCTTAGTTTGTAGGTTTGTTTTGCTTTAGAAGCATACTCACCCTCTTTATAGGCTAATCAGAAAGTGCTGCCTTTTCAGATGTATATTTTTCGTGAAATTTCCAGTTTCATTTTTACACGTTTGCGTATCAAAATTTCAACATGAAATTTCACAAAAATTAGACATCTGAAAAAGGCAGCACTTTCTGACTAGCCTATAAAGTGGGTGAGTATGCTTCTAAAGCAAAAAAATCCTACAAACTAAGCCTAAATGTGAAAATCAAAATTTGGCAACGTCGACACGATTTTTGTACATGTGGACGTGTGGCCTATGTTTACGGAGGCAGTCCAGTAAATAGGCCACATTTATGGGGCTAATATCTGGCCATCACTTGTCACCTTAATTATGACTAGTCCGAGTAACTTTGACCCAACTTATCGCCTTTTTTTAACATTTGGACATGGTCCGGCGATAGTGGGGTCCAAGCTAATACCGCGACCTGGACAACACCGTCCCAAAAACCAACATTTTCCAACAAAAAACATCAGATTTCACCTTCAAAACGGCCTCCAAATTAAATGAATTACTAGATATGCCACCTAAGGTACAAGTAGACATCGATAATTAAGATGGTTGTACTGAAGTTTACTTACGATCCGGAAAAAGAGTGAAATTTTCCGTTCATTTCGGAGAGCTCCCCTCGCGATCTTGAACACGTTAAATTCCCGATCGTGTTTAATGTTTGAACAACGCGATTTCTTCTACATGCCCAGCATACATTCGATGGTCCCTGTATCCCGAGTGCGATTCCGTTACCGAGCGCGCGCGATACATTGATTATGATAATGAGTCACGTTTGTAAACACATACACGTGCATTTCGAACTGTAAAAGGGAATCGGGAACCAGCTTGAACTGGTATCCACCATAAAAGCTGTGCTAGTTCCCGATTCCCTATTATCGTTTGAAATGCACATGTGTTTACAAACGTGATCCAGTCTACTTATTATCATAATCGATGCATCGCGCGTGCTCGGTAACGGAATCAGGGGGGGGGGGCGGAATTCACCCCCTCCACTTTTTTCCGCGATAGCCTTGAAAAAATTTCACGACCCAAGCTCTTATGACTTTTTAGACTCGAGCCTTTCGCATCTTTTGATACCAAAAACAAAAATATCGGCGCACAGCGAAAAATTTTACGTGGAAACTGAATTTCCCCATATACATAGTGTACACAGTGCAGAATTATTATTCGAGCATATGAATAATTAATTAGCCATAATTCCAAAACCCTTTGACCTAGCTATAGTAATGAAATTACCTGAGAGATGGTCAAAATAACCCGGCCTGTTTAGGGTTAAGGGAAATATTACTGATGGCCAGATATGGGAATCTTTCCTATTAAATATTGGAACTTTAGTCAATATAAAATTGAAAGAGGTACACATGATATAGGCTATTCTTATTTTTTGGGGATGAAAAAAAAATTGAAAATTTTGCTAAGCTGGAAATCGAACCCTGCTATGCTGGGGATCTCTCACTCTGCACATGCTATCAAGTATCATATCCACTAGGCCACAGGTCTTGCACAATTATATTAATACCTCGTATACACTTCAAAGAGGGCACTATACAATGTAGCTGGCTCGTTTATCTATAGGCCTACTGAAAGAAAGCTGGCTAGAAAACTTCCTAGAGAATACTGCCCCCCCCCCCCCAACCCAGTTCAGCTGCTGACCAATATCGGGGTGTTATAATACTAGTAGAATGGGGCCAAAAATAATCCATGGTATGCTAATTGGGGGGGGGGGCATGCCCCCTGACCCCTAACAATAACAGGGTTTGTCTTCGGCACGCTTTCACCCCCACCCTCTTCATATTAACCCTCTGCGCAGAGATCGGACTTTTCAACCATGAGCCAAAACATTGCAGTGAGTGACGGGGTCGTGAAGGACATCCTGCGTGCGGGAGGTCCTACCAAGGTCCAGGCATTGGAGACCATCACCGTCCACTGCACTGGTTCCCTCGCTGGCAACCCACCCAAGAAATTTTGGAGGTATTAGCATGTGTTGTCATCAACTACACGTTAAAAAGTAGTGAGCATCCCCCTATTTGGGGATATTGATATTTTTGATCAGGGGTGTATACCCAACCAGTCTATGGTAATTTTAGGTTGTCCCCACTGCTGTTGCACGAAAATTTAAAATTGAGCCTATTAATGGCACGTACCCTAAGGCCTATCCATGTTTGTTTATTGGGCATGTACAGCATTTGCTTTTGCTGCAATTTTCAGAAATAAACAAATTTCGAGGATCAGTTTGTTAGGCAAAAAAAAAATAAGTCAGTCTCTGGTCAGCACGCGCGTCGATTTTAATCACGGGCGTCGATCTTTTTTTTTTCCAAAATGTTCCGCGGTAGCTCCAACAGCGCCCTCTATTTCCGCACCTCCTCAATTTCTTTTACCAAAGAGCACTAAGGAATGGGAAATTGCACCAAGGCAAATGATCGAAAGCACCAAGGCAAATTATGGAGGACACCAATGTACATGAGGACACCAAAAAAACAAAATAGTACCCCACCTTGTGTGTACAATCCAAGCTTGAAGAAAAAAAAAAAAAGCAAAAAAAAAAAAAAAGCCGCGTGGCCGTGTCAATTCCGGAACTTTGGTCTGACCAGAGACCGAATATTTTCTTTTTTTGGCCTTATAGCAAACATTTTTAAAATGACTTGTTCGCATTTTGGGCTTGTAGATCATGCTAAAAAAAAAACCAAGAAAACCAATCATGTTCTTGTAGTCTGGTTCCCTGACCCCAATTAAGATAAATCGGAGCAATTTATAGACTTTGGGGAATTGTAAGGTCAGAGAATCAGTCTAGAAGGCTTATACACATATGTACAATTGCAAAGAAAATGCGGAATAACTAATTAGGAAAAATTAGGAGCAGGTTTTGAAAACAAAACAGCTTTTCCAACGCTGGTCGGGCCGACCATCGTTGGAAAAAAAGTTTTCTTGAAAATGTCAGCACACCAGGAGCCATGATTTTACAGGATGCTTTGGACTGTCATTTCCTAACAATCCAGTAAGGTATTTCGTGGTAATTTGATCATTTCGTTTTGTGATGTTTGCAAATGTTGTATCTTCCCTTAAAAATCACTGAGAAAAGGCTGAGCTTTGGTCCCAGAGTCCACAAAATTTTGTTTAAAGCTACAGTCCATCATTTGCAGCCATCCGAAAAAGTAACTGGCGTATTATTGTTGAAAAACATACTTGGTTGAAAGATAGTAAGGGGACTAAACTCCCTGTGAAATTAATCTTTCTGGCAAGCTATCATTTTGAAGTAATCAACGAAAGAAGGCCTTTCCACCGTAGGAAAATTTAAATTAGTAGTTCGTTTTGTTATTCGGCGCAGCGCGCGCAAGCATTGGCACGACGCACAGGCGCGCGCAGTTGCTATAATTCGTCGGATCAGTGCGCGACATTGCGTATAGCTGCAATTCAAAACAATTCAAAACATGATTCAGCAACTTTTGATTTGAAATTGAGATCCTAGAATGCTGTTTTTCTCGGAATGTACAGCTGAAGCTCAGCTGAAACTTCATCAGGTTAGTTGTTTGGTATCGTTCATTAGATTTTGAACACTTTTGTTGCTTCAAACGAACAAAATGCACAAATTACAAATGATGGACTATATCTTTAATTGCTTCAGAATGGCTATTCACCGAAAGATTGCATTGGTCTACACAATGGGCTGGATTTAGCCCATTCATTGGCGTTGCTTGTAGTCCTATGTGATAGCACTGCCCAGTCCGCAAGTCACAAGTGATAGTAAGTAAGTCAGAGAGGACACTAATGTGGCTCTCTGGGACCAGCAAAAGCTGACCATTAATTAAAATTTTTAATTTTTTAATTGAAGACGTTTTTTGTTTTGTGAATGGGCAATTCCATGGTTATGAAAGGCAGTGTAATGCCTATAACCCAGCCAATATAACGGTGACATCTAATATTTAGAGAGAAGATCCAAAACTCCTGGTTGGTAATGTCCTTGACCATTACTACAGTGGAACGTCGCTATAACGAACATCGTGGGATCTACAGAATTATGTTCGTAATAGCGATCGTTCGGTATAGCGATTTTCACACATTTTTGGCGCCCTCTTTTGATAATTGTTATTGTGTAGTTGCATTTACAAACCACGCGCGGAGTCGCCAAACTTGTCCATTAATATTTTCAATTCCGTAGCAGAACTTCACCAAGTACGCCCTGGTAGTTACTGAAAGACGACTTTGAACACGTGCGACTATTGAATTATGTAATTACACAGTTTTTTATAATAGCCATTTGTCGCTCTTCTGTTGACATTGCTTGGTACGTTTTGTACACAATAATTGGGAGCCAGTGCTGATGTTCGGTATAGCCGAATGTTCGGTATAGCGGTGTTCGGTATAGTTACATTCCACTGTATAAAGAAATGAGTGAATTGAATTTATTAGTGATCTGTTCATTTCTATTGCCACAGCACAAAAGATCCTGGACAACAGCCATTCACCTTCCAGGTCGGCGCGGGAAAAGTGATCAAAGGTACTGAACCAACACCGGGAAATCCTTGAACGAGTTCACATCTTCAGTCTACACACTGAGTTCATGTGTGGGCCATTCTCATAGAGCTATATTAAATTACAAGAGCGCTAACTTCGTGTACAAAGTAATGCCTGCTGGGCGCATCCATGTTTGTGCACAAACCTATGGCTTTTGTACGGCTATCTGCATATCTGCGTTTGTATTCCATACCGATGCGTTATCGAAGCCAATACGCCCAAAACCGAAACGCACGATCAACAAATAAGCGTGTCATTTTGCTCTATGCAAACAGCGCAACGCGTGCGCGTATTCCCTGCAGATGCTTTTTGCTGTCACATTTTTTTGTACCGTCAATGACGGGCTTAAGTTGTTTGTGTATGTTCTACTTGCGCGTCGCATGTAGAGTACTCTTTCAAAATTCAATCCATCTAATTTCATTATGTTCTACAAACACGCACATGAATTCAAAATGTCTGCGCCCAGGACGGCTTCAAAGCATCTCCGCGTGCAGAATGACGAGTTAGCGCTCTAGTAATTTAATATAGCTCTAAGGCCATTCTATAAATTTGGGGTCCACTTTTTTTCCCTGTCCCTGTTACATCTGATACTATGATTTTATAATTGTGATGAAAGAAAATTGTCCCAATTTCAACCATTATTATCTAGAATTTCCCTTATGTCATTGAACCAAATGCTGTCAAAGGCCCATACATGTAGCCTACCTGGTTTGAGGGTTGGGTTTTGTTTTTACTAAAAGGTTGGGGTGCACTCAATCCATTAATCATACGGCAAGTGCTAGAAATTTAAATATGTAGACCATTCATGAATTAACCCTAACTCCCTTGGCATTTTTGCTAGGATCAATCCTGCAAAATCCTCCAACTGCCTCCATGTAAAAATAGCAGACGGCCTCAATCCTGCAAAATCCTCCGTTATTTCTTGAATGTGGTCCTTGGAGGGGTGACCACTGCCTCAATCCTGCAAAATCCTCCGGCACTCACTGTCAATATCTTAAGGCAGAGCCAGTGACATCCTGGAGCAGTGGGGAGGATTTCAAGGCCTAAAATAGGCCTAAACTTATGCATGGCTGAGCAAAAACAACACAAGGTCGGGCCCAAGACCTTGACACGGTGCATCGTCCGAAATCAGCAACACAGTTTTGCCATGTAACCTCAATCCTGCAAAAATCCTCCATTTCGCAAAGAGGATTTGGGAAGGTTAGGGTTAGTAAAGAAATTTCTGTCGATAAAAACTGACAACTGAAAAGACGACACGTCAAATTTGGAGTTGGTCAGTCAGGCTACCCACTTCTTGTAAAGGGCCTGTTTTAAATTATTGAATAGACTATTTTCTTCTTTTTTTCAGGATGGGATGAAGGCTGCTTGTCGATGTGCAAAGGAGAGATTGCTCTTCTCAAGATCCGCTCTGACAAAGGTTACGGAGCCAATGGCTTCCCAGCGTGGGGATATCCTTTTTTACATCCAATTGGTTGAAGAAGTAGCTTATGAAATTGGCTTTCCAGTCATTATTATGTTTGGTGCTACATATTTGTTTTAATATGAAATATATTTGGGGGGTTTAGGGTTCTGCTTTTGTTTTTACTCACCCTGTTTAACAATTCATTTGAGTGGATGGTTCTTTAACTTTCAGTGGGAAATTGTCATTGGAACATTTGTACTGCATTTGTACGTGAGCAAACCAGTGCAACCACCCAGAGTGTCTCTCACACCGAGCTCTCATGACTCCTAATTGGTCATAGAGTGCTGTTACGCCCCAACTATCGCATCGGTCCCAACTATAGTTGGGCCCGTCCCAACTATAGTTGGGCCTGTCCCAACTGTAGTTCCACAGTTGGGCTGGCCCAACTATAGTTGGGCCTGTCCCAACTATAGTTGGGACGGTCCCAACTGTAAGTTCCACTGTTGGGCTGGCCCATCTATAGTTGGGCCACTCCGATCTTTTTATTGTGCAGTGTCCCAACTATAGTTTACATTGATGTACAACTATAAAACGTTCCCTACAGCTCTGATACACGTCTGACTTTACTGGGGACCACTGAAATTAGCTATTGATGGGGCGAATCTATAGTTGGGCCACCCCAATCTTTTTATTTTGCGGTCCCAACTATAGTGTACATTGTTGTACGATTATAAAACATTCCCTACAACTCTAATACACATCTGACTTTACTTGGGACCAATGGAATTATCTATGGGTGGGGCCCATCTATAGTTGGCCGGCCATGGCAATCTTCGAATTTTGCAAAATGTTGCTGGACAATAAAACCCAGCAGCTGGACAACTCATCCAACTAGGCAGTACCACGTGACTGGCCAGCCTTGCGGCATGCATGCACGACGAATACACGGTGCCAGCGCCACGGAACATTTAATCCAACAAGATCTATCAAGCATGAAGCATCCGGCGCAACTCCAGTCCTAACTATAGTTGGGCCGACCCAACTGCCGCACTATAGTTGGGACAGTCCCAACTATAGTTGGGACCGATGCGATAGTTGGGGCGTAACAGTGCTACATGTATTACTTGTCCAAAAAGGTCCTACTTCTGATCCTAAATAACTCTGTTGTTTACCAATGGAATTAAACCAATATTTCCCGATCATGTCAACTAGGCATGACAAAATGGAGCGAGTTCCATCAGCTTGTGCAAAGAGGGTGCGATTTAAACGCCATACGAAAAAAAATACTTACTTTCAAAATGTCGATACAGCGCTGGAGACGGTGGCGGAAGGCGCGTGCTGCAGCCGAAAGCTTCTGGAGGAATGCAGGATTACCTCTGATGCCATTGCACACCTCCTCGATCGCTTGGCACAACACACGATCGCGGAGGTGTGCAATGACATTAGGGGTGACCCTGCATTCCTTTAGAAGTTTTCAGTTGTAGCACAGACCTTCCGCAACACGTGCCTGCCGCCACCGTCTCCAGCACTGTATCGACATTGGAGGATGTCAAGTTAAAAGTGGCAGATTCTGAAAGCGAGTATTTTTTTGCGTATGGTGTTTAAATCTCATCCTCCTGCACAAAGCTGATGAAACTCACTCCATAAAACTTGTCATGCCTTGTTTGCATGATCTGAAATTTTGATGTAATTCCATTGGTGAACAACAGAGTCATTTAGGATCAAAAGTAGGACACGTTTATTTTTACACATAGTATGTAGTGTTCAGGTCTGTTCTTCTTGAAAGTTTTCCTTAACACTGTGCTCTTCACGATCACTCCAAATGCGAACCTAGAGTTTGAAATCGAGATCCTGTGAGGAGGCGGCCCCCTCAAGCTCTTCCATATTGGAACGGGCTGTCTTAATGTTACCCATGATGCATCACTGTAAGTGGTTTCAAGGATATTTATGCGTATGAGATCAGTAGTGTTTAGAATGAGATAATTAGAAAGCACTCCTGAAATTGTAATCGTGTATGTCGTTGAAGCAGTTATCAAAGAAATACATCAGCTAATCGTCAGTCCACTATCGCTTGATTTTTTTATTTTTCCCATTTTACAATTTGAGTCACTGAGGCTAATAAGCCATTTGCGAGTAACCTATACCCTTTGGGATTTACATTTCAAAAACATCTGGTACACTGACTTGCTCAGAATGCTTGGCACATTTTAACTTTGAATACTCCAGACCAAGACACTGTTGCTAATCACATGATTCGGGGCAAGCTCTTGCATGGTTACGTAAGAGACGCTCAGCACCAATACATTGTTCACAATGGGTGAGAATGGCACAAAGACACCAGACCATGCTGGAGCTGGGGGTTGCTAGCATAAGGCTTGCCCCAAATCACGTGATATAGTAACAGTCTCTTTGGTCGGGAGAATGCAAACTTAAAACGTGCAAAGCACTGGATTAAGTCAGTGTTCCAGATTTTATGCAAATTTAACACGCAAATGGCTTATTTTGCTCAGTTGCGGCTCTATAGGGGGCATTTCTCCCCCCCCCCCCCCCCCCAGTTTTTCCCCGAACTCTTTATGTACAAGTAGATTAATTATGTTTATTTTCTTCGCTGTTAAGATTCGTAAAAATTTGGAGCCAATGAAAGCATTAAAACATTGGTATACTTAAGACAAAACATGCCACACATGCATTTATACAGCCGTACATAGTGTGCGGCCAACGTCTTTGTACATTTGTTATAATTTTGTTATACACCATTCTTCTGTTTGATACATTTCTCATTCATAAAACTGCCTACACCTCTTAAGGTGCTCTAGTGGCATATTTCTGGACCATTGACAATGGTACGCGTGCGTACACAGGCTTGAGATTTTTTTTGACTGCCCCAAAAAATTATTTCCTTGCCCCCAATTGCCCCCCCCAAAAAAAAAAATTAGAGTCTGGCGCCGCCACTGATTTTGCTATATTCGTAAAGATGGAATCACTTCACGTGGACAACTTTTTACACCACCAAATAGATACTACCTTGAAGTATGTACTTGTACAATTGTGCCATTGAATTCTTGAAAGAATACTACTCCCCGTAGATCATGCATGAAAAAAATTATGGTGCAATGTTCTGTGTATCGTTTTTTGTGTGTGTGTTAAGCACTAGTTAATTTCATTTTTTCCAAAAGTTGACCCCTCACATTTTTGTATTCTTTTGTATTTTTTGTACAGAAACTAATACAGATACTCAACTTCAGTGATTCATGTTTCACCAGTTAGCTTTTCACATCTCTTTTTAAATCTTTTCGTGATTCTTGCCAGATCTAAAATACAACTTCGTGGATACGCGGCAGACGCGATTTCTAAATCTCATGCTGCATGTGAATAATTTCCGTGATCGGTTGTGTTGTTTTTGAAAGAATCGCTTTTCGTTATTATTAAGAGACCAGACATAGTGTTTGTTACACAAAATTATGGTGTGTTTTCATTTCATTTTTTTCCATTACACCTATTTGTGACCCTCCAGCACAAAACCAGTCACTTGGACCAATTTTTTGAAAACTGGGATTTTGAGCTCATTGGAAAGGACATTGAATATCCTTTCCAATAATGTACTGAATATGGGAATCAGACAAAATCTGACAGAGTTTTTGGCATTTTCAGATTCCAATTTTTTGGCCTGGGAAAGTTTAAAGAATTGTGAAATTGGTTGTTAAAGGGAATATACAACATTTGCAAACATCAAAAACAAAACTACTAAATCATTATGAAATACCTTACTGGACTGCTAGTGAATGACAGTCCAGCATCAGTTTCTATACACACAAAGCTTCAAACAAGTCAGTGTAAGAATATTTGCTATAAAATACTAAATCCCAAATCCATCCATTTCTGAAATTTAGGCAAAAGCACTTAAAAGTTTCCCAAGGGAACTCGGAAACAACACACATTTCTATAAAAAAAAAACAATCGGCACAAAACTTGGATGGACAGTCATCACTAGTCTTGTCCTAATTTATTTACACAAATGTTCAATATTCTGATGTATTTCTAGGCTGTATCTCAAAATATGGCAGTGTGACTTCTGACTGGTTATATGCTGTAGGGTCACATATTGCGATAGGTAATGCGTTCCCTTGTTTTCAGCATTCAACCAATACAAATGGTTCACAGATAAAATGTTTAAAGAATTGAAAAAGTTCATTTACTTTATAGCTCACTCTGTAATTATAGTAAACAGAGTATAGTAAACAGACTATTTCTGCATATTATTTTGATGTTGTTTTGATATTGGGTGATTTAAGTAAATAGATAAATCATTGTGAAATTTCTAATCAGTGCCTAGCAAAGAGGAGAACAGATTAAAAGTAAGAATTAAATGAAAACTACTTATTAAGAGTTGTTTATTTTGGTGTCAAGTTGATGTTCTTGAGGTTGAATATCATAAGATATAGTTGACATGGTCGTCTTGTTTTGGGGTTAACCCTAAAGGGCAAAAACATAAAATTCCAACCAATGGGTTGCCGTGCAGCGAATTTTTTTTTGGCGCTATGCGCCGTGAAAACTGAATTTCCCCATATTTGTAGTGTACACAAAGCATAATTACCATTGGTGCATATCAATAATTATTTATCCATAATTCCAAAACCCTTTAACCTATAGTCATGCAATTTCTTGGATATGTTCATATTAAGTTGGTCTGTGCATGCACTGAGAATCATAATTTGTCGTCACTCGATGGCCGAGATCGGGGGGGGGGGCTTCTCCCCCCCCCCCCCCCCCCTGCGCCGTGAAAACGGAATTTCCCCATATTTGTAGTGTACGCAAAGCATAATTACTATTGGTGCATATCAATAATTATTTATCCATAATTCCAAAACCCTTTAACCTATAGTCATGCAAATTCTTGGATATGTTCATATTAAGTTGGTCTGTGCACTGAGATTCATAATTTGTCGTCACTCGATGGCCGAGATCTGGGGGGGACCTTCTCCCCCCCCCCCCCCCCCCCAGAAGTCATAGTAGTGTAAATTTAATGGGTTGGGGGGGGGGCAAAATGTCCATGCCCCCTCTAAGACTGATAAAACGAGAATATGTTGCGGGGAATACGGGAATTTTTTTGGGAAAATATGTTTTGCTCCCCTCTAGAAAAAAATTCTGGAAGTTGATATCTGATTCTGTCGGTCTTGCATGGTGCCTGTACTTGAAAACAAACTTTTACGTGACTTTAAGGACATTGACTCTTCTTTATCTTCTTACATCATAGGGTTTTCCGTTGTTGTCCCAAAGCGAATCGGAGATAAAGGCGTATTTATACAAAGAGAGAATAATATGTACACTGCATGAGTGCTAAGTAGTGCAGAATTTACAGTTGTCTGCTAAAAGCATACAGGCTTACAAGACTCACCTTCGATTTTCATATATAATTGCATTTCTTGGCAAATGACCCTGCGTTTATTGGATTAAGAGCCTAATGCCACTCCAGAGTCTTGTTTTTTTTTTCATCCAGGATTTTTGTTTAATCAGATACTTTTAGTTTTCCATTGGCAGTGCTTCAGTGTTTCCATGCAACGCAAAATACACTAATGTTGCCCCTGACACTTATTAGATTTCCGTAAATCCATCGAAAACTTGTATACAACTTTTTCATCTAACAATTTGCTTCGTTCGTGTACGGGCCAAACAAATCTCGTGCTGTAGACAGCCGATTTTACAGAGAAGTTCCTTCTTAAAAAGTGAAGTATGGTTGGGAACCACCAAACCAGCCACATACATAAGTAACAGTGCATTTAGTTTCGGAAGTTTTTTTTTACCTTAATAGCTGTTCTTGTTTTCTGCTACGTGCGCAGTGTGAAGACGATTATACTCGAGAGTCCTTCAATTTGGAGCCTCAAAACTTGCGTGCATGCTCTTGTGCCTATACCAATAATATTGTACGCACATAAGAGTTGTTGGGAATCATGCTGGGGTAAATAAGGAGGAAATTATTATATGTACAACTTACAGTTTCACTGTTCGCAACTGATAATTAATTAAAATGTGTTTATCTACAGGGTGTCCCCAAAAAATGTCCCTCTGGATGATATACAGAATTCTCATTTAAGAAGAAAATTTCCAATTCAATTATAGAATAATTGATGAGCCCAAGCATTGTTCTTCATTGTGTGAAGTTTTTGTTGGATTAATTCGGTTCAGTGGTTTTGAAACAAATACCATTAATGTAACACCAGTCTATTTTGCTCCATTTCAAGTTTGACAATACGACTATATATGTGTAAAAAGTCTCTTGTTTTCCAATGGAATTAAACCAAAATTTTAGACCATGTAAACAAGGCATGACAAATTTTATGGAGCGAGTTTCATCAGCTTTGTGAGAGAGGGTGAGATTTAAACGCCATACCTAAAAACAAATACTCACTTTCACGATCTGCCACTTTCGACTTGGCGTCCTCCAATGTCGATACAGCGCTGGAGGACGGGGCTGAAGCCATGTTCTGCAGTTTGAAGCTTCTAGATGAATGCAGGATCACCCCTGACGTCCTTGCAAACGATCGAGGACGATCGAGGAGGTGTGCAATGACATCAGGGGTGGTCCTGTATTCCTCGAGAAGCTTCCGGTTGCAGCACGTGGCTTAAGCGCCGTCCCCAGCGCTGTCTGCACATTGGGTTAACGTCAAGTCGAAAGTGGTATATTCTGAAAGTGAGTATTTCGTAAGGCGTTTAAAAAAAAGCGCACATAAAACAAATCAACCATGCCCAGCTTCTGGTGTTGACGGTTCATAACTCGCACGAATTCCTAGAAAACTCGTGATAATTTTGTGGCAAGAAAAGGCTAACCTGGAAGATTGGCATCAATCTTTCTAAAGTTTCTACACACAACTTACTAATGTCTTTTCTTGTTAAGTTTGTGGCACAATTTTGATGCAAGTACTATATGTAAATATGGATTATGCTCTCTGTCGTATGCGCTACAATGATCTTTTCAAGTTCCTTATCAGTTCATAATGCAATCTCCTGAACGTCCATCTCTTCATCCGATTGCTGAGGATTGGCCAGGTTTATAATGCTGTGATTGTCGTTGTCATCGTCGCGGTTCAAGTGTCCGATGTTGCTCTGTGGCTCATCCGTCGCAGCGGTCACATCGATGACGGCGACCGCGTCCTCCCCGTTGACGGGCCTCACGCCTCCTCCTGCCCCGCACCGGCAGCGAAGCGCGTCCCGGGCCACGCTACGCCACTGGTCCATGCAGGAGCTGTAGATGAGGAGATTGGAGCTTGCTGCAACGTAGACGGCCACCGATGCGGCTATGGAGAGCGGGTCAGTCAAGCTGGACGGGATGTGGGGCACATGAGTCTGATCTTCTCCAAGACTGACCATGATGTACACGTGCTGGGCCCAGTAGACAAAGTACGCGATGAAGTTGAGGCAGATGATCCCAGCCACAGCACAGCAGCGTTGTAGGGTATCATGGCGAGCCAAGAACTCCTCCTTGCTCTGCCGGACTCGCTTCCAGGTCAGGTAGGCGAAGCAGGCGTAGAAGACATAGTGAAGGGCGAAGATGATGACCAAGAGACTGCCGAAGTACATGGAGTGGTACATCTCACCAGCGGGCCACCGATAGCCGCAGGTGGGTTGTTTGAACGAGTTCCCCGGCGGCCACACGACGACCCAACTCGCTGCCGCCACGGGTAGCGCCAGGAGGAGGCTGTAGACCCAGGCCGCGGCGACGTGGTTGCGGGCCTTCGTGACCGTGCGCTCCAACCCGTCTCCCGGCTTGGTGACGGCGGTCAGTCGGTCGTACGCCAAAGCGAAGACGATGTTAGCGCTGACGATCATACAGAGAGTCTCCACAGTCACGACAAACTTGCACATCCACCCACTCGAAGACCAGCCATCCTCCCCGCTCAGAATCTCAAGCAGACGAAGAGGAACGGGAAGCAGGGAGATCAGATCCGGCAAAGCCTTGTGGACCATGAAAACATTAGTCGAGGTGCGCATTATCGGCCGTCGGACGTAGAAGAAAATCAAAGCGGCGTTCGTCAGAATCCCAACGGTGCCTAAAACGACCAAAGAGGCAGTCAGCACGACCGTGCCCACATCTAGTTGAGCCGACATTTTCTCGCAAGAAAAAAAAAATAGGTAAATTGGATAAACAATAGTTTCTCTCTTTGGAGCTTGTGTATAGCTGTTGATATCGAGATTGAAAACAGAATCAAGTTTCCCGACACAAGCACGAAGAAGAGAACTCAAAATGGGAGCAGCGGTTATTGTAGTCGAATGGAATTATTTCCACTGCTCCGCACAAACGTCTGTCAAATTGCTGGACAGTTTCAAGTCGGTCATCCAATACATCTGCATTGCGGTGATGGGGGAACTCATGCGCGCGCGTGTGCAAGAAAATATAATTGCTTTCTTGATGAAAAACCATTTCCTTTGCGACTACTTGAAGCAGGGAGTTTAAATATTCATCAGTTGCAGGCTTCAGCCAATTACATCCAAGATCGATGAAGCATGTGATTAAAAGACCCTAGGCTTACGCTCCAATTAGACCAACCAATGGCGCGCTTCATCTACTTTTCTTCATCGAAAGTGTATCGAAATTGATGACCTTCAATTTCAGGCGTGTCAGACGTTAATTTCCAATTTGAATAATCTAATAAGCCTCAAAATACAGAACAGTTTGTGATGTCATCCTCCGAAAAAAGGTTGATTGCCTAATTTGCACAAAGAACATTGTGAGAAAAAAATATATTTGTGTTAAGAATTCTATGGATTGTACAATATTGTGTCATCGACCTTGTCAATAAAATAATGACCAATTAAATTAAAATTCTTTCACTAAGAGAAATAAAGGCGTATAAGTAATTTTTATCTTCCACGGGCCATGTGTATGCTTGCCAATTCGAGATTACTTTAAAGTGCTATTAAACTTTTTAACGATTTTTTTCAAAAATATTTCAATGTTCGCGTTAAGGTAAATTAAAACTATATAAAATTATTCCATTCTTATTATTATATCTGAGCATTATTGATTTTCCGTCTATAGCTTTGTGGCGATTCGGTTTTCTTGTTTTTATGTAAATAGTCTTTACTCGGGGAATTCGTTTCCACCTTCATCTCAAGTCTGTTCTTGGCTATTGTCAGTTATCATTAAATGCTGTTTTCTGGGCCGATGAAGAAAATTAAACTGGGAAGGACACCGGTCCCGATTAATTCTTTTCATCAAGCCATTTCCTGTGCGGTTGTACAGACAGCAATTGCTACGTTCAAAACAAGGTCATTGTCGACATTAGAAATACAGGGCCTACAAAATAAAATAGAAATGTAGGGGCCTACAGATTATCTCTCTAATGAACCTATCTGACAATGGAGTGCATCCACTCGAAAACGATATGTAGGGCGCTAGAAGAGATGGGCTTTTGCCATGTCTCTTTCGTTTTTTGTTGATGTGAAATTCTTGGTATTATTTTAGACTATCGTTTTTCAACGATGTTTATTTTTTGTTTGTTTTGAAAATTTGTGTTGGGAAGTCATGCCTAAAACAGGCGTTGTTCTAGAGCCTGTATTTTAGGGGGGGGGGGGGGGGCAGGGGTGGATCCAGAATTTTTTTGCAGGGAGGCGTGTTGAAATGTAGACCTTTTTTTCTCCGGACAATATTAGGCCGGGGGGGGGGGGCTCGAACCATATTTTCAATTGGGAACACTGATAAAATCCTATCAACCAATAGTGTGCAAATGCCCCCTTCTCACGACAATAATTATTGGTTTAGGGGGAACTGTTTGCATGTGACGTCATCTTCTAACATTTGCTACTGCCAATTGTTTTTATGGATTTTTTTTTTTGGGGGGGGGTATTAGAAACCCCCAAAGAATCGCGCCTGGCCTAAAATACTTAGGCCTTTACAGTCTCTTAAATGCCTAGTTTTTTCTGTTTTCGGATTTATTATTTTTTTTACAAAAGATATGTAATTGTGCATCTCCTAAATCTAGTGGCACGTTCGCCCGATTCAAATTTTCTGCTTTTAGAGCATTTTGTGGGCCATGAACTTGAAGGTTAGTAAAAATGAAGGTTGGAAGCCCTGAACCGACTGTGGGCCAGGCCCGTCGCCAGCCCTGAGCATCAGGGGGGCCACGGGCCTGCTGTGAGCTTGTGGTTTTATGAAATTGGGCCCTAAAATTGCTCTATTTTGCACTTGAATAGAGTGCCGATGGCATAATTTTTCAAAACGGCGATGGGCTTCAGGACTACTTTTACGTTTTTGGGGTGATCATCTTTGGATGGAAATCTCTCCCAAAAGTCATGGAATTAACCCCAAAATATTAAACAGAAAATTAAAGATGAAGAAATAAACTTTCCTTTGATGTGTGTATCAAACTCTTTGGAGAGTTCTAAAAATTAATGTGGCCTGACGTTGCGAACTTAGCAAGTTCTTCTTCAGAGGCTAAAAGTTCTTCTTTGGAGAGTTGTGAGTATTTTTTCTGATTTTTGGAAGTGGGGGTTATTATCACTGAGGTCTAAGGAAGTTTATTTACTGGTCCGTATAACCTGCCTAGCTAGCTCTAGCTCTCTGCAAAGTGGACCCCGCGGGCGTAATTTTTATTCCTAGGAGGGTTAGGGGCAATGTCATGAATAATTCATGTTTATCCATGAGAACGGACAATGACATCAACAGCATTGTTGTTAGTTACTCAACTAGTTAATAAGTCGGTCTCTGGTCAGCGCGCGCGTCGATTTTAATCATGCGCGTCAATCTTTTTTTCTCCAAAATGTTCCGCGGTAGCTCCAACAGCGCCCTCTATTGCCGCACCTCCTCAATTTTTTTTTACCAAAGAGCACCAAGGAATTGGAAATTGCACCACGGCAAATGATCGAGAGCACCAAGGCAAATTATGAAGGACACCAATGTACATGAGGACACCAAACAAGCAAAATAGTACCCCACCTTGTCTGTACAATCCAAGCTTGAAGAAAAAAAAAAAAAAAAAAAAAAAAGCCGCGTCCCCGCGTCAATTCCGGAACTTTGGTCTGACCAGAGACCGAATATTTTTTTTTTTTTGGCCTTACAATACATTAAAGCATTTTAAAGAACGGTTGTCGTCCACACAGTAGCCTAGTGGATAGCGAGATGAGCTATGGATACAAAGATCCCTGGTTCGAATCCACGTCGTCGCTGCTCATTTTCATCAGCTATTTTTCTTCTCCAAATTTATCACTGAGATAATTTAACATTAAGGGGAAAATAGAAGGAGAACCTTAGTCTTGCAATGATTCAAAGGAAAAACTGAATTATTCATGACATTGCCCCTAACCCTCCTAGGGAAAAAAAATTACGCACCCCGCGTACGTCACCGTTAAAGAGGTATAGCGCCACCAATTGACCAGAAAAGTTACAGACGAATTCCCATGATGCAACGGGTATTCCATAGCAACTGCAAAGCTCGTGCGGAGAGCGATTTATTTGTATCGGACTTTAATTTTTCTGAGTTTACAAAAGTTGGTAAATTATTTGTATTTCAGCTTAACAACATAGTACATTGTTATCGAGAGGAAATATAACCATGACGACCAACGATGATGACTATAAGATGTTGGAGTTATTGTCCACGACGGGATTTAATGGTGAGGATTTGGGGGTGTCGGTCTTCTGTTCTTCACTTCTTGCACTTGTGTCACTGTCATTTCATTTGGGTTGCCGCTGCTGATTGGAAGTGCATACAGCGCCTGGACCCGGCCGTAGGCGTAGCGGATCCACCATGTCCACACCAAAATAAACGCATTAACATCATGGACCTTCACCAAACGAGGCCAGGATTTCCAGTACAGGATTTCTTGAGGCCTTAATTTTGTTGTTGGAAAGAATATTGTTGAATCGTGACGCCACTTTAAAAAAATAAAAATAAAAAATAAAGGTAGTGGATATTTTGCCGGAGGTATCGCCGGCAAACTAACGTTTACTAAAGGTTTGCCGACGGCAATCCATATCAACAGAGGGCGCTGTACTCTTTAAGATAGGGCTGAATTATAATATGTATTAAATTCCCACTGAAGTTGTGTAGCACAGTCGGTGCAATGGTTAAGCAATGGCTCTAGTGAGTGGGATGTCCTGAGTTCGAATCCTGATCCCCGCCACAATTTTAAGGTTTTTTTTCCCATCCCCAAATAAATAAGCCTAGGCCTATGTCTGAAAATTTTATTGCAGAGTATTAGGCTACTTTTTCTTTTTCAGATTTGTGGCTCTGGAGGATTTTTTTTAAAGGGAAATAAAGTCCGAAATTATAAAATGGTCTGATTCCCATCTTGTAAATACAAAAATACAACGATAATATAGGCATGGAGCCAGACTAAAATTTGTAACCGGAAAATGTTTAAGTAAAAAAAACCCAGTAACTGCGCATGTTCAGTGCATATCCGGCAAACAGACGTTTACTGAAGGTTTGCCGTCTCCGGCAAAATATCCACTGCCATAATAAAACAAAACAACATAGTTTTGAAGGTCAGTCATTACAAATGTTGAAAGGGAAGATTGCTAGAAAAAAAAAATTACTTTGTTTAAAGAGTAGCGGCTGAATTTGATAATTATAGTACTTAATTTATATCCCACTGATAGTTGTGTAGCAACATTATCGTTATTGTCCACCAATGGTTAAGCATTTCATGGCTGCATACAGCGCCTGGACCCGGCCGTAGGCGTAGCGGATCCACATGTCCACACCAAAATAAACGCATTAACATCATGGACCTTCACCAAACGAGGCCAGGATTTCCAGTACAGGATTTCTTGAGGCCTTAATTTTGTTGTTGGGAAAGAATATTGTTGAATCGTGACGCCACTTAAAAAAAATAAAAATAAAAAATAAAGGTAGTGGATATTTTGCCGGAGGTATCGCCGGCAAACTAACGTTTACTAAAGGTTTGCCGACGGCAATCCATATCAACAGAGGGCGCTGTACTCTTTAAGATAGGGCTGAATTATAATATGTATTAAATTCCCACTGAAGTTGTGTAGCACAGTCGGTGCAATGGTTAAGCAATGGCTCTAGTGAGTGGGATGTCCTGAGTTCGAATCCTGATCCCCGCCACAATTTTAAGGTTTTTTTTCCCATCCCAAATAAATAAGCCTAGGCCTATGTCTGAAAAATTTTATTGCAGAGTATTAGGCTACTTTTTCTTTTTCAGATTTGTGGCTCTGGAGGATTTTTTTTTAAAGGGAAATAAAGTCCGAAATTATAAAATGGTCTGATTCCCATCTTGTAAATACAAAAATACAACGATAATATAGGCATGGAGCCAGACTAAAATTTGTAACCGGAAAATGTTTAAAAAAAAAAACCCAGTAACTGCGCATGTTCAGTGCATATCCGGCAAACAGACGTTTACTGAAGGTTTGCCGTCTCCGGCAAAATATCCACTGCCATAAATAAAACAAAACAACATGAGTTTTGAAGGTCAGTCATTACAAATTGTTGAAAATACATGAAATGATAATGTGGGACTGAGAAGATTTCCAATTTTGTTAGAAAATACTTTAAAAATGCACTCAACTCTCCATAGACTTTGTACACAGCCAAAGAAGTGGCGCCTGGATTGTCTACATTCTTTCCTGTTGTTGTTTCTGGTTGATTGTTTTTACTTTTAGTTTTAAACCAATTTTTTTTATACTGAAGACAGTGAAGTTTAATGGTTTTTTTCAGCTAGGGATTCTAGCCAATTATGGAGAATCTCCCCATAAAGGGAGAATTCCCCTTATACGGGGTTCAATTCTCCATTGTGTTTGGTACATTTTAACTATCCCCCAATCAAGAGAAATTCTCCATGTAGGGTATTTTAATTTTTATTCAGCATTATTCAAATAATAATAATTATAATAATAATTTTAAAAATATGTTCACCATGTTTAGTTCAGTTTTTGTCCTGCAGTACAGCATAGGCCTAAATGTGTTTCTTGTTGAAACAGAAGTTTCATTAAGGTACATTGAGCCATACATGTATGTAAACACTGAAAAAATATATCTAAAAATTTGTTACTCATACACAGTATTGAGAGTCCCAAATTTCCGGACTAGCACCATGTAGCATTTTGTGAATAAAACTCTTGATTTCTTGTCCCTTGACCATGACAGGCAAAGTCTTTGCCGGCTTCAAGGTCCATCCCGACAAGGAGCACATCATCTATCCCCTGGGCAACACCGTCATCATAGAGCACATCGCCAAGAACACCCAGAGCTTCTTGCAGGGACACACGGACAATGTCTCCTGCGTGGCCGTGTCCAAGAACGGCAAGTTCATCGCCTCGGGTCAGGAGACCTACATGGGGTTTAAGGTGAGACTCTTGAGCTGTTACTTAGGAGCACGTGAGACTCAGAAACAGCTGAAGTTGTACTTGCTATTGGAACATGCTTACAATGAAACAGCAAGAATATTTCAAATTGTTTTACAGCTAGTTTTTGAAGTTGTCAGATTCAGATGAAACAGTTTTCATCAACACTTTTGTTTGATCAGTCACAGACAGTCAAAAAGTCATTCCACTTTCCCGTCCATGCCTTTTAGGCAGGCAAGTCACCAACAGTCGGACCATATTTCTATAGACACTGTGACTAGGCGAAAAAAAAAAAAGTTCTGCTTCCGATTACATGGCATTTGAAAATAGGGTAGGTAGGTAGGGAAATATTTTTTTTGGCCAATTTTTTTTGTGTACGATCGTATGGAGGCGTCTGCGTGTTGTCAAGGGTAAAAGTTAGAAATTGATGGTTTTGGGTGTTTTTCCCCTCATTTTTCCCATAAAAAAATTATGGTAGGGGCTGTCAGAATAGGGTAGGTAGGGAAAACGGAAGCAGAACTATTATTTTTTTTGGCTGTAGTCATATTCCATCAACAGATAAAAGCAGGTGACTGGTAGTCACAGCTGGCTTATCAATCTTCTACAGTCAGAGCATAGCTGTATCAATTTTAATGACAGTTACAACCAGTCAATCCTGCTTTATGTGAGAAGGGAGCACTCAACTGTTTGAAACAGTCACTTGATTTATTTTGACTACCGGGTTGGGATTTGCCAGCCAAAGAGGGAGGGTTCATCAAGTGACTTCTCATTTACAACTTTCATTTTTTTTTTTTTGTATTAACAATTTAATGAAAGATTTTAGGCAGGTAAACTTTGAGTTCAGAGAGTAATGATTAGTGCCTCTTTAATTTGGTCACTGACATAATTTACCTCACAAAAATCCTCAAGAGGGTTGAAAAAGACACTTACAAAGAACAGGTTCAGACAAAGAAAAATAACAAAATCTAATTCTTTTTTATCAACTGAGAGTGTACTTAACAGTACAAAATTGGACAGAGCATACCTGCTTTGTTCAGAGAATATGGTTAGTAAACAGGACTTGAAATACTCAACCCACAGGACCGAGAGCAGTGATTTAAGTGCCAATGTAGTGCTTTCAACGAGTATACAAGACTGGTGATCTAGTTTTTTTTTTTCCAACTGAAGATCAGTATGTCATGCCAAATGCACATTATATTGGCAAATATTACTCTTCATGACCCGATGTTCTTCATTTATTACACCTAACTACCATCTTCAATGATAAATGATCAATAGATCACGTTCCTGTCTTTTTTTCGTTTCACACCTTGTTTAAATAACAAACCTTAGTTCCAGTAAAATTGTTCAGCTACTAGATTGCACTTTTCCAGTATTTTTTCCTGAAATTTGAGCCCTGGTAAATAAGTCTTGTTACTACAATTTGATCATTTCAGGCCAACATCATCATCTGGGACTTCCAGGAGAAAGAGCAGTACTGCAAGCTGGAACTGCACAAGGTCAAAGTCCAGTCCCTGGCCTTCTCCCCGAGCTCCAAGTACCTGGTCTCCCTGGGCGGGAAGGACGACGGCAGCGTGGTGGTCTGGGACGTGGCCAAGAAGGAGTCGGTCTGCGGGGCGCCAGCCGCTGTCCAGAGCGCAGGCATGACGTCTTGCATCGCCTACTGCAACAACGACGAGGACAAGTTTGTCACCGGTGGAGAGTGAGTGACTTAGAAAGTGTGCCAACTTGCCCATTGCACCGAAATGCCATATTTTGATTATACCAGACAAAGACGTCAAATTGTAAGGAAAATTAGGGAGTCCTTAAAGATGATACCCTGTGGTCTTCAAAAAATGCATTTTTTTTCTTCTAATGAATTTTTAATTTGTATGTTTTGTTTTAACAAATTTTTTTTATTTTATTCCAACTTTGGACATCTGCAACCCACTGAAAAAGGAAAATAATTTTGCGAATAAATGAACCTGCCCTGCGAGAGCTGAACTGTATGGCAGCCAATAAAGCAATTTTTGTGAAGAAATAATTCAATAACTAAACGTTGATGGATTTTTTTTGTTCAATGTCTCACTCAAAAGCAAATAACTTCTATATTTCTAAAAACAATAGCAGTTGGAAAAACAAGTCTGCTTTTCGAGGTGAAACGCAAAAATAGCACGGGGAATGCATTGTTCAAATTTGATTTCGTCTCCAGGTATGGCTTCATTTCTGCTTTTGGAATCGTTTTCAAGTGGAAAACCAAATAGAAATACTGTAACTTTTGGCTTTGTTTAGGTTATATGAAGTTCCCAAAAGAAGAACATGGATCCATTTTAAGTTAGAGTACCCAAGAGTCAGTGGCCAAACTTGCTATTACAGCCTCTACTGTGCAAAACCCTTCAATTAATTTTGATTCATTTTAATGTACAATACACGCATGACATGAAGTGTGGCCTAGCGGTAAGGGTTCGTGACTCATGATCAGAGGGTCAGGGGTTCGAATCCAGCTGCCGGCCATACGTTGTGTCCTTGGGCAAGGTACTTAATCCCCACTTGCCTCTCTCCACCCAGGAGTATAAATGGGTACCAGCATTAGCTGGGGAGTAACCTGCGATGGACTGGCATCCTGTCCAAGGGGAATAGAAATATTCTCAGTCGTTTCATGCCAAGGAAACCGGAGATAAACGCCGGCCTGATGGGCCATATAGGCTCGGGACAGACTTTAGTTTTACACGCATGACATAAATTGAAAATTGACCATCCCTGTTGAATTTTTGTGATATGGCACTGTCAGACTTCATCAATAAAATGTGTGAGTGTGGCAAGAAACAAATATGGTTTTCATTGTTTTTGTGATGCCTCTATTTTCTTTAATGACCATTTTAATGACCATTGAATGTGACTTATTCGTTCCAGACGTACGATTCGTGTGTGGACGCTTGACATTGCCAATCGCAAGATCCGCCCAGTGGACTGCAACATGGGCCAGCTGAAGCGTTACGTGAAATGCATTGAGGTAAGCTTCTTTCTTCAATTTAAAATTGGATGTTTTAAGCCAAAAAAAAAAGTCTCCGGTTTCTGGTATGGAGCTTGCCCAAAAAGTGGTGTTGGCATTTAAAAACTGACCCCTACACCCTGGCACATCAACCAAAATCCTGATCCCCATCATGCCCATCCCCAACCCTACCTTCAGCCTCCCTTCCCGCCTTCGACAGCGAGCCATGGCGGCTTCGCCGTTCTAGTTTTGCTTCAAATGTCGGCTGATGGCTGCAAATGGTGCCCGACTAAACTTAGTGCAAATATATGGGAGTCCAGAGAGGCCACATAAAGCTTATTCTCGACCATACCCCAATCTAAAAACACGTTAAAATTGTGCAGCAGCAGGATTCCAGTCAAACCAGTGAGTTTGGCGGTTTTGAGACATCATCTTTCATTGAAAAAAAAACTTTTTCATTTTGCCGACGCGCATGGCTACGGCGACGCGCGCGCATACCAGAAACCGGAGACTTTTTTTGGGGGGCCTTAAGATGGGAAATGGCAACATGTATTTAACGTAGTTCAATTGTCAGTAATATTTGGAAATGTTACGCTTTCTGCTAAGAGTTCTGGGAATAAAATCTGTATCAGACACAGCAAATACAAAGTAAGGTTTCAAGAAAAAAAAATCAACCATGTTCTGCTGAACATGGATTTTAATGGATTTCTCTCTGCTGAAGAATTAGCGAAGAAAACCATTAATAAAACACCAATTCCATTCACAACTTTTCATATTTTCTTAAATTGTTCTTTCTATAATGTACTGTTCACGAATATTGATACATTATGACTGAAGAATAAGGAGCCAGAAGTCTTAATTCAAATATGAAACATTTTAGATCTGCATGGGTCGATTTAATTAGTGCATTGTTGTTTTTTTTTTGGGGGGGGAAAGCTTCAATCTTTTCTCATGCTAAAAATTTATAAGTTTAATTTGCAAATTTAATTTTCAGTATGCCACACCAATACCATAACGTTCTTACTTTTGATATTTCAGTTTCTTTTTAAATTTTGATCAGTAAGGTGCTCAAAATGCCGTTAACAGATTAATGGCAATGTTAATATTTCCAACGCCAACAGGTGGCGCCAGACGATGACTACTTCTACTGCGGCACCACTAGCGGCGACATCCTGAAGATCTACATGGCCAACAACCTACTGTCCAAGTTCGGCCCCGAGAAAGACAAGTACAGCCAGGGGGTGACTTCGCTTGCCTTGCTGTGGACCGGGGAAATCCTGGTGGGCGCCGGTGACGGCACGGTGGCCGTCATCAAGGGAGATCAGTTCAAGAAGACCAAGTAGGTGGCACTGTTCATTCTTCATTTGTTTCCTTTTTTTAAGTGTCGGACTCTCAAATGTGTCAGACTCTTAACCCTAACCCCCTAGGCCCTTGTTGCTTACAACCATCCTCAATCCTCCAAAATCCTCCAAAATTTTTCAACTCCGTCTAAATTTTTCAAAATTGTCAGACAGTCCTGCCTCAAAATGCATTCATCCTCAATCCTCCAAAATCCTCCTCATCCCAAAACTTTGCACTGTGTTTAAATGAAGGATAACCAACGCCAAATCCTTCAAAATCATCAGACAGTCCTGCCTCAAAATGCATTCATCCTCAATCCTCCAAAATCCTCTTGTGCTTCATTCACCATTCATCCTCAATCCTCCAAAATCCTCATGTGCTTCAATCACCATTCATCCTCAATCCTCTAGAATCCTCCAAAACCGCCAGGAGGATTTTGGAGGAGTGAGGTGGGTTAGGGTAGGTATTATGCAACACTTTGTTTTTGCTGTCATTTCCAGAAATGGACGGATTTGGGGGTCGGTATCTTGTAGCAAATATCATTCTACTGCAGTCGATGCGTTTAATTCCCAGACGCAGTGCTTTCAATTTTGAATATTGTTTTTTTTAAAACAATCCTTTTCAAAAATGAGATTTGGACGGCGCGTTAGAGAGCAAGGATTTATATTAAATGTGCGTACCTCTGTCGTCCCTTTTACAACACAAGACACAGGTTTATTGGTCGAAAAACGAGGCTTCCAGACTCCGTAACTTAAGGCATCGAAAAAATGTTTGGACGTGAAAATAAACGTGCAGGAGACAACGCGACCACATAATAGGGCGTGCAGCCTTCGAAATACGCGCGCAGTACGCTCTGAATAGTCAATCAGCATCGTTTTCATATTCTACATGGCCTGATGTAAGTGAAGGAACGCGCATGCAGCACATGGAGTCGAGGCTGGTACTTTTCTGGATAACTGCAAATGATCCATTGTGTAACGTACATTTCAATATCGTTAATGTTTATCATGATGGGACTAGCTTCTAACCGTTTGTTTGTTTGTTTGTTTGTTTGTTTGTTTTGTCTTCCAGGAGCCACAAGATCCCAGGCTCTGGTGCCATCACGTCGCTGGTCTTGAGGGGAAAGGGACATCAGGTGAGTTAATAAGAAGAGACAAATAAACGGAGGGGTACGGCAAGTTAAGTCAGTATATATACATGTACATTGGATTTTTAAAACAAAGGTATGAGGAGAAATTTTAGTAGCTTAACTCGTCGTGTGCCTGGCAGAAGGGTGTATGAGCGCTTACGGCCCTAAAACACGCGAATGCGTAATCACCAAAATCTTTCCAACAAAAGGGCATATGTAGAAAACTGCATATTTTTATTATTTTTGAGCTTTGTTATCGGAAATTAACACAAGTTGTTCCAAAAATTATGATTCATACGCGTGACAAATTAAAATTTTGTAGGATTTATAATACGCGTGGGAGAAGATTGGATTTATAATGCATGTAGGAGAACATTGTATCATTTCAATACAATTTTCTTGAAATGTTATTTTTCACGTCGGAGCACTTATGCCCTTTTGCCGGGCATCCGACGAACTGCTCAAGTTTGTTTTTGATATTGTATTGATTTTGTGGCCTTTAGTGTCTGTTCTGTAGTGCCCAAAACCGCCCTGCCTATAACTCCCTGTAGCTCTTGAAACCGCCCAAACTCTTTACGGTATGATTGATTCTTCGGTGATTAAGGGCCCATCTCAATTCTCATCCGGGACGAGCTCCGGACAAGATGCGGACATTGTATCGGGTATAAGTTGCAGGATTCTGAACAACTTCCCCACAATCTTCCCGCAATAAAGTTATCAGTATTGGTGGGTCAAGCAGTTGCTTATGAAAAAAATTTCCCCGGACAGTTTCCGGAACAAAAGCAGAGCGTCTTCCAGACAAGTGACTGATTCTACCTGCAACTGGTTCTGGAACTCGTCCTGAGTAGGAATTGAGACAGGCCCTAAACACAATGAAAGAAGATATAGTACAGATACTTATGGGTGAATTAAAGGGAACAACATTTGCAAACATCAAAAAATAAAACTACCAAATCATTTTGAAATACCTTGCTGGACTGTTAGTGAATGACAGTGTAAAGCATCCTGTAAAATCATGGCACCTGGTATACTGTCATTTGCAAGAAAAATGGTATTTTTGTATCAATTTCCAATGCTGATCGGCCGATCAGCGTTGGAAACAACTGGCTTTTTTTTCAAATACTGGCCCCAATTGACAATCGCACTTGTTTGCAATCGATTACAAACCTATGAACGGGTACGAGCCAGCTAGACTGGTTCCCTGACCTTACAATACCCCAATGTATGTAAACTGCTCTGTTTCTTCTTATATGGAGTCAGGGAACCAGACTACAGGAAAATGATCGTTTTTCTTGGTTTTTTATAGCATTTTCGAACCCAAAACCCCAAAAAAGTCAGTGTAACTATATTTGCTATATATTTCCAATCCCCCAACTCCATCCATTTCTGAAAATTACAGCAAAAGCAAATGATGTATATTCCCTTTAAGGCTGCGTTTGTTTAGATTCTTTCATTATTGGGATGGACATTTTGTCCATCCTGGTGCAAGTTCGGGCAAGGACCAGTGGTTAACTAGTGGTTGGTTCATCGACAGACCTAACGCATGCGCACTGAAGTTGAAGTGCGAACGACTCTAGTCGAACTTTTGTCAAGTAAACGACTGTAAAAAAAATGGCGTCGCACAATAATTATTCAACTCTTGTTATTTCTCTTTATTTACACCGTACATAATCTTTACATCTTACATAATCGCCAATATTATTTGTACAATGGTGACAAAATCGTAAACTACTAACATGGAAAAACTGTACAATGAAAAAGAAATTTAGCGCTCACAGTTTCGTTTTCCGCCATTTTTGTTGATAAAAGTTGGTCCCCTCTGCACTATGCTATGTAAATTGCTATTGATAACCAGCTATAAATCGTTGCGCGGCCAGCCGCGGTAGGCTGGTTCCAAATAGTCGACTAGCGTAGTCAACCATCGTCGACTAGACAGAGTTTGGGCTAACTTTGGTCACACTATGGTTAACCATTGGTCAACAATAGTTCTTGCGCGAACTTGCCCATAGCTTACCCATTGAATGGTCCTTGGAACCGAATGACATCAACGGAAGTTTTTGTTTCATTTTGAAATATTTCTTCTAATGTGGAACATTCTTCTGATTGTGTTCAGTTCCTAGTCGGTACCGAGAAGTCTCAGATTCATCGCTTCAACCTGGCGGAGTTCACCCGGGAGCAACTGAGAGATTGCCACTTCGGCAGCGTGTCAGACATTGCATTCCCTCAGTGAGTCCAAACATTCAAGTCTTTGGTTTCGCATTATATTATATTTTCAGCTTCAAAGACACACAGGTACATTGATACCAAGTAACACCATATCTATTAAAGAGGTTCATCTGGATCGAAAACTTTTAGTACCTGTAGAATGCCATGGTCCAGTTGTTACAGTGTTTGACTCATGCACGATGGTGCGTGGGTTCGAACCCTGGTGCAAGGAACTTAGCGTTTGTGCCCTTGGGCAAGACACTTTACTACAATTGCCTCGCTCCACCCAGGAGTGTGAATGGTTATCTGTGAGGGTAGAGGACTGAATGTTCGCTGATATCGGCTGCCGCATTGTCTTGTGGCCTGATGAACGGGGGAAATTGTAAAGCGCTTTGAGATTGTTGATATGATTTCTTTATACTGTTCAAAATGGATATCTATATTGGTATCTGTCACTTTAATAACGGTTGTGTTACTAATGATCGGTTCCTTTATGGAAAATTACCATTTTTAACTGAGGCCATTTTGAAAAGGTTCAGGCTATTATTTTACATATCCTCATAATTTGCACGCCCAGCGGGGGAATAATTGTAAAGCGCTTTGAGATTGTTGATACGATGGAAAGTGCTATATAATCATTACAATTTATTTTGTTTCTTATTTATGAACTTGTGGATGCAGAATTTGTGCCCAGGAATTTAGAAACAGGAACCCGACAATTTGGGTATCAATTTTTTGTTTAACCCTCAAGGGGGTGGGGGGGGGGGGAGGGTGGGGGGGGGGGAACCCCACTTTCTTGGTATATCTAAAGCTGTGCATCGGAACCAGGTACCCGAGTACCCGACCGTTAATGTCAGGAACCAGTTCTAGATTATGGGATGGAGTACCCGTAACCAACTTTACCAATTACTTAGTTACTTCTCAGACAATGAAAGAGAAAGGTTTTGAAGTCATTTGTGGGGAATTTTCAAAGTGAAAACCAGGCCACATGGGAAAACAAAACATATTTCACATTTCTGACGCCCGCAAAAGCTGCAGTTTACACCTTATAGCTAATGAGCTCACTGTAGTCTTGCTGTATTGATGCGCCGATGCGGTAGTATTATCATGGGGACCTTTGTAAGCAATCTCAACAGCAACTTCTGAGATTTGAATTTTGGCATGTTTGGCGTTGGGTTTCTTTAACGGGTACCCGGATACCCAAGTTTTTTTCAATCAGTTACCCGGTTCCTGTACTACCCGTAAATGCACACCCCTAGGTATATCTGTTTCTGACATTGCCGCGCAATGTTTCTTTCAAGACTTTATGAGTAGTTGAACTGATGTCTTGCATATGTTTTCACCTCAATTTCCTAAAAATCGGTTGTAGCTTTTGCGCAAAATATCGCATTTGTCGATGTAGACTATTAAAAAGGAAAAAGAAAATGCTTTCCGTTGGCAGTGTTCAGGAAAACACAGCCATGCACTAACAGAAGCAGGGAATATTGATGATCGTAATTACAAACAATTATTTTTGTTTTTAACACAAAGGCTCGTACAGACATTTGGAAGCACTTTGATTTACAGGTGAAACTCTCAATTTGTTGCTTTTGAAAAGGTCTTGCTTATATAAGACTGAAACGTTTAGCCAGCTGATTTTGTTAATTTGTTGAAGTGTATGTTTTTCCTTCCTTCTTGCAGCGGCTGCTCAGACCTATACGCGACCTGCTCGCAGAGCGACATCCGGGTATGGAACGCCAAGACCTCCAGGGATGTGCTGTCCATCACGGTGCCCAACATGACCTGTAATGCCATTGAGCTGATGAGAGATGGCTCTGGCATCGTCAGTGGTAAGGAGCTCAAAATTTATTAGTAAGGCCAAAAAAAAAAATAAGTCGGTCTCTGGTCAGCGCGCGCGTCGATTTTAAGCATGCGCGTCGATCTTTTTTTTTTCCAAAATGTTCCGCGGTAGCTCCAACAGCGCCCTCTATTTCCGCACCTCCTCAATTTTTTTTTACCAAAGAGCACCAAGGAATGGGAAATTGCACCAAGGTAAATGATCGAAAGCACCAAGGCAAATTATGGAGGCCACCAATGTACATGAGGACACCAAAAAAGCAAAATAGTACCCACCTTGTCTGTACAATCCACGCTGAAGAAAAAAAAAAAAAAAGCGTGGCCGCGTCCATTCCGGAACTTTGGTCTGACCAGAGACCGAATATTTTTTTTTTTTTTGGCCTAATAGACAGTCTTGCAGAAGGTTTGATGTCAATTTCCTAAAAAGTAGTTGTAGGGGTGCCACAGAATGTCTCGTGGTCAGGTGCACTGAATTTGAGATCATTTGTATGTAGGGGAAAGGGTTTGTTGGTTGCAAGCTATTCAAATGAATACGGGCGATTCACGGTGCAGAGCGCCACCAATAGTTTGCCATGAAGAGTTCATTTTACCCGGTGCATTGTGGGAGATGTTTAACCAATTCGCAGCGCGGGCTATTTGAAGTTTGTTTGGTCAGCAGTTTCGTAAGCGTGTGATTCGAGTATCTGTTTGCTCTTTTCTTTTTATCAATATGGGGTTTTTTGTAAGGCGGCAGAACGCTATGCCCCAATCTATAACAAATTAGTTCAAGTTGTCTACTGACACTCGCTCAAGTGGGCCATGTTTTGTCGACCGTAAACTTGAAAAATGGACTCTCCATTGCAAACTCTTGGTGGTGCATCGCATTGTGAATTGCCCGAATTACAACTCTGTGTAGAAATTGAGGCGCCTCGGGGCCCTTAGATCTTGAACTGACAATTAGTTTCAGTCCCAATAAGCCTGCAAGAGTGATGGTCTTCTAGTCAATCCCCACATTATTTTTACTTCCCCCCCCCCCCCTCCCTACCGCTTCCCCTACCTCGACTCACAGCCTGGGACGACAACAAGATCCGTGTCTTCTACCCGCAATCCGGCAAGCTCAAGTACCAGATCAACGACGCCCACAACAAGAAGGTGACGGCCATCACCACCACCTCGGACTGCAGGTTCATCATTAGCGGCGGCGGCGAGGGGCAAGTCCGGGTCTGGAAGATCAAGGACCAGCAGCGGGGCGACCTGGAGAGGACCATGAAGGAGCACAAGGGGGAAGTCACCTGCATCGTGGTGCGCAAGAACGACCGGGAGTGCATCAGTGCCAGCTTTGATGGTTCCTGCATCATTTGGGATCTCTCGTAAGTTGATTTTGGCCTCTTGAAGCTTGTAGGTCTTTCAGCTACCCAAGTGGAGCATGCTGGACCAAGGGCCGATGTCACGAAACCCTCGTAGGAAATGTTACTCATCTTTAGGTCTGACTCGTCCTAGGATCGATTTCATCAAACTTAAGACGCGCTCAACGTGTCCTAACTTCCTTAGAAATCGCCTGAACTCGTCTTAACTTAAGATCAGCCAGAAGGTTGTCTTCTCGTCTGGAAATCATTGCATTGTCTTGTCGTTGAAGACGAGTGTCGGCTTAGAGTTACAGTTTTGAGGAAGAAACCTGCTGTAGAAACCCATTTGAAAAGATTTCTTTTACTTGGGTAGTTATGATAAAAAAATAGCTTATTTACAAAATGTAATTAGACCCCAATACCTAGTCGACTTTCTTGGACGAGGATAATAACAGCATTAACAAACAGCTGTTTGTGTAGGAATTTGTTCGTTTGCGAAACGGTTTTTGAACCACCTCAGCCCGCCATTTTGAAATAAGTTTGTCCGACTTTCTGAAGACTTTCTTTTGAGGTACAATTAATGTACCGCAAACACAAAGCTGTCTTGTATCAACCTTGATAAGTTGTGCCAAGACGATCACGATTTACTTGTAAAATTGTGGCGCAAGCGGGGTTTCGAGAAATCGGCTGCAGGACTTGTAGTCTCTGTAACCAAGGATAGTCAAGGTGGTGCATCACTACCTTGTTTGCCGTCCACCTCAGTACCCGAATTGGAATCCCAGCCAGGCCAACATCTGCCTAAGCTTTTCAATCCCTACCTGATGATTCCACAGATTTCCCTCAAATATCACTCGGGTGCTTTTCTCACGCCACTGAAACTAAATAATTTGTTCATTTTTTTCTACCTCTAGGTTTGATAAAGCTAAAAAAAACTCTACAGCCAGTCAAATTGAATCTAAAGAAAATAAAGTTAAGAAACTTATATCATAGAAGGTGTTTTTTGTCTTTCCCCACTTCAGGCGAGGCACTCGGCACCTCGTGATCTTCGCCAACACGCTGTTCAAATGCGTGAGCTACAGCCTGGACGAGTCCCAGGTTTTGACGAGTGGAACAGATCGGAAGGTGAGAACTACTGCTGTTTTGAGCTCCAACCGTGAAGGATCGAGCTGAGGGCTAATAGGTTAATGAAAGGTCTTGTGAATCGGCTTGTGATCGACTCTGTTGTAACTCTGCAGCGGGGTTAACTCACCGTTTGACAAAGTTGAAAATAGATGATTAATTTCCATTTTGAGGGGGGGGGGGGTGAATGGTTTGGTATTTAACTCAAAACTTTGGAATTAGATTTGATTAAAACAATAAGCTGTGTATCAACATATCGGTTATCATTGTGTCCTGCAGGCACTGTTTTAAGCCAATATGTCAGTTTGACTTATGTATAGACTTACAACCAAGCTCTTCCTGAAATCCTTAAAGAGGTTGTGGAATGCTCGAAGACATTTCCGTCATTTTTCGGGTATATGTAGCCTAAGGTGTGATGAAATAAAACCGACTATTGTTTCTGTCATAAAATGAGTACAAAAGGTACTTTTGAGAGCTGTTTTTCAAGTCCTGTCATGCCTGTTTCGACCCGAACGTGCAATTTGTGTAAAAGTCGTCGTTGCGGGCAGCAAACAAAACACAGTCAATCGTGACGTAATAAACAGGACTCCCGATGCAGAGTAGCATAAACGAGTCCTGTTTATTACGTCACGATTTACTGTTTTGTTTGCTGCCCGCAACGACGACTTTTACACAAATTGCACATTCGGGTCGAAACAGGGCCTGAAAAATAGCTCTCGAAAGTACCCTTTGTACTCATTTCATGACAGAAACAATAGTCGTTTTTATTTCATCACACCTTAGGCTACATATACCCAAAAAATGATGGAATTGTGTCTTAGATCTTGTATGAACCTTGCATGTTAAATTTAGACATTTTAAACTGAAATTAAAGTTGATTTATTTTTTGGCTTGACCCGGTGGGCCAGTCTTTGGTCCACTGACAGACTGAGTCACTGACTGACAAAGTGACTGAGTATTTGCTATTCCTCAGTTTGCAGCATTGCTATAAATGTTGCTAGCTTCGTAACTTTGGGCGAGATCCCTGGCTACATGGCATATATGGGTTCATGGCTTCTGACTAGCGCACCTTGAACAAATTTACATTGACAAAATGGGGAACTGCCAACACAGGGCTGGATAACTCAGTTGATAGAGTGCCGGTGTAGCGTGAATATCCGACTCTATGAAATGTGGACTCATTGGTAGTACTGCGCACGCGTGAGTACGATACTATGCTATTTTTAGGATCGTTTTGAGAGAGTGACCTGTCACGTGCGAGGGAGTAACCAATAATAGGGAAATAGGGGTCCGATTTTCATAGGAGTCGGATTTTCATGTGACACCGGAATGACAGTCTGTAGGTCGCAGGTTCAAATCCCGTTCCAGTACATTTCTGTGTGCAACTTTTTAAAAATGAGTATAAATTATGTTCAAACTGAGACTTTCGACTGGAGCTCTGCTAGGCAACTTAGTCTATATTTTTTGGGCAGTTAAATTTTGGTTTCATTCTTTTCCAGTAAGATTCAAAAATGCGCGTAACTGTCTGAGAATATGTAAGAAAAAAAATTCCCCGACTTTTCTTCGTTGGGAGTGGAACCCATGACCTCTCACTTCTAAGTTCAGATGTCTGAGCCACTCAACCACCAATGCAAAATTCCATGGAATTTTCGAAAACTTGATATTTGATACTTTCTTATCACAGATTGGCTACTGGGAAACCTACAGCACCACCCAGATACGCGAGACGGAGGGAGCCAGCACGGGGGCTGTCAACGGCATGATGGTGTCGCCGGACGGCGATAACTTTGTGACTGGTGGGGACGACAAACTCATCAAGGTAACACAAAATGAATACATGCATTGCTTTGTCTTGTAATTCACTACCAATATGGAGACATGTGAATAAAAGGGAACAAAAGATTGTATTCGTCTCCACAGAGCATTTTCTATCTGTGAATACGTCCCCACAAGATAATCACGAAATGGATATACGGATTTTACTCAAAAACTAGGAATTTCTAAGGTGTGTTGATTTGTCGCAAATTGAAGTATTTTATGTATTGAAGGATATTAAGTCCGAATTTCAGCCCAGGAAATTAATTCTGGTTAAATTTGGAACCATTTTGAAACTACATTTTCAAACTCTAAAATTTTAGTACACGAGAACAAAGAAATGACTCCACAAGGATACAAAATCCAGTATGTATGAACAAACGGTTGTGTGTGTTTTTTTTTGTTGGTTTTTTTTTCAATCATGGTGGCTGCCTTTTTTTTTTTTACAAGAAACCTTTGTCCTGAGGCTTTTTTTCTACGAACCTTTTGAAGTCCACTGTGCTGTACACAACAGGGAGCCAGGACCATGAAGTTTTGCGATGACATTTTGACCATCGTTTGAATAGAGGCGTTCGCAAGTTGCTATTAGTGCGCAGGCGTTAGTTCCATCCCAAATCAACCACTAGTCGACTAACAGTCCTCGCCCAGACTTGCTTATATATGCATCTTATTTACATGTATTTTCTATTATAACACCTCACCCACAGATTCTGTGTCTTGATTGGCCGAGAGCGAGTCACATGTTACTTTCTAATTTTGCTATCTTTCTGTGCACGGCCAAAAGCACTATGCGCATAGCAACCAAAGTACTATACCATTAGCAACCAAAGTACTATTTCCACGGCGCGGTATTTGTGTGCAAATGCATGCTGGTGTGCGCGTTGTGCGTAGCGCGTATTATTCCAAAGAGAGTGCGCCGCAGACTTGGGTTCAAACATTTCATGAAGGGGTAGTTTTTAAGAGAGAAATACATTTTCCACCAATTTTGTATTGAAATTGAAGTTTATTTCAGCTGTTTTCAGATTTAAATAATTTAAAATATTAAAATCAAGCAGAATCTGTGGGTGAACAAATATTGAATGCTTTATCTCGTGGTGAAGTAAAACTAGCCTCCCTCGGTGATCCATGGACCATTCTATTTTCCCTCGGCTTCGCCTCGGGAAGATAGAATGGTCCATGGATCACCTCGGGAGACTAGTTTTACTACACCACTCGAAGCATTCAATATTTGTAAACTATTATCTCCCTTTCTCTTTGCTCAACAGTTTTGGGACTACGGAGACGCTCAAGTGACCCACGTCGGGATCGGCCACAGTGGCGCCATCAACCGACTGAGCATCTGCCCCAACCAGATGTACATCGTCAGCGTCAGCCAAGACGGGGCCATCATGCGCTGGAAATACCCAAAGTGAACCCCTCTTCTTTTGTTAAATTTGCTTCAAGTTTTTTTCTTCAGAAAGTTATGCTTTATTACTGACTTGGGGAGGGGGGGGGGCGAACTTGGGTGAGGGATGATCAGTCGTAAATGAGTCGAGATTGATTATTTCAGCTGCCAGTTATACAGTTCTCTCAATTTCTAAACACGATTTGAGCAAAGCGTAGAAGCGGTAGAATAATAATTTGAATCCTATGAAGTGAAGTCCGTCGCAGCATCCAACAGTGACTGTTATATTCTGTCCTTTTTGTCGTAATTGTAGAAAAACAGAGAAAAAAGTTTGACCTTTTTTTTTTACATGAGGAATTTAAGCGAACTGGATTAATAAGGGTATGCATTTAGGGACATGCATATTGGGTATGCATTTCAGAAAAATGGGTATGGATGGTGGAAAAATGGGTAATGGATCTTTCCATTTGTTTATATAGACCCTTTTTGAGGTGGAAAACATTGAAATGATAATTCCATCCTATTGCTTCCGTCCAAATTGACAAGTACTTTCAAATTCCGTCCAATTCAATTGTTTAAAAATCCAACGTTGCTTGTTTTTTCTGGGATTGTTTGTAATGTTTGAGGTTGTGTACTTTGCTTGTCAACAACTTTCTAAAAGGTACACATTCAATTTATTTTCGAATTCCATTTTCAGAAAAACACGGGGCATTGTGCCACAGATAGGTATCACAGTACAGCTGCGCAATAAGGACATGCGGTCAATTATTCTATTTATGACTACTTTTGTAAATAATTGCTCTCTTACATTTACGCAGTAGGAAAAATAATCCACATTAGTGTATTTTCTTCTCAGGTTTTGCATTCTTGAGAAAGGGAAGTCTTTTTATGTTCACTTTCATTTCAGCCATCTTGGTAAAAATGAACAGACACTATTAAATCCGTCCGCATAGCGAGTATTTAAGACCCTTTTTTCATTATAAATCCGTCCAATATTTAACTCTTTCAGTGCCAAACTCGTACATGTACGAGGTATATTTGTTAGTACAAAAGCGCCAACCTCGTACATGTACGAGGTAATGTTCGTACTTAAAATTGCCAAACCTTGTACATGTACGAGGTAGAGTAAATATGTTATCAAAAGGGGGCGCTCTCGCTCTTTCTAATGGTACCATTTTCATGCATGTACGACCTGTATTTATTTTTTCATTCGAGTTCTTGCGAGAGGGCGCAGCACTAAATCTCGTATTTTCTTCCAAAGGGTCGGAATTCCCCTGTGTTCAGGCCAGTGTTTCAGGGTGTATCACTATGTTTGTGACTACTTTTGACTTTCCAATATATCAAGGATATACCAGAGAACAACAAAAATTTAGTGAGTAAAACTTATTTTCTTTTTTTTTTTACAGAATTTCGAACAATTAACAAAAACGCTCAAAGTTGGGCACTTTAGGGTTAAACTTTTCAAATTTCGCGGGCACTGAAAGAGTTAATAACACTTTCTTTATCAATACGCACGTTCTGTACATAACTCTTCGAGGGCCATATTTTGAAATGTGGTCGTGTTTTGGTGTACGTAGTATGGTAGAATATGAATAGCAAGCAATTTTTCTGTGTCCGATTTCACCTGTTAATTGATTGGAAGTGTATATTATTTGCTATAAATATGGAATTGTAACCGACCGCTTGTAATAAACTGCATGTGTCTTTGCCATTGTGTCTTCATTGAGCCCTGCGTAATTGTGTGCCAATACTTTTGTGTGAAGTTCTAAATCTTGATGTTTTTATTATTTTTTTTTTTAATACAGACTTTTGAGACATTGAAGAGATCATCACAATAATGCAATTTCTTATTTCCGAGAGGATTTATTATACATATATAAATTATACAGAGTACATATTTACAGTGCTGCCGTGATTCGAACAAAAATCAAGGAAGCCGTTTGTTAAATCTGAATGTACATATATGCATATCATTAAAAATGCCAATGACTGCTTCTGAAAAATAAGCCCTTCATTATGATTTATAAAACAAACATTGTTTCTTCACAAATAGACCGATCCACTAGTCCCAATCCCCTGCACCCGATTTCACGAAGAGCTGCGATGCGTCGCAACCCGAGTTACCACGTGTAACACATCGAAACTCGCGACGCGTTGTACAATCCATTTCACGAAACTTGCCATGTGTTGGAACGCATCGTAAGCTCCTTGACAACGGCTTAAAACAAGTCGCAAGTTACGACTTGTCTAGTGGTCATCACAAAATAAGAAGCGTCCTTTTCTTAGCCAGATTTATACCATACAAACACATAACGAGACTATAATACCGAGACAATGTGTGTTAAGTTGTAAATACAAATTTCATTGAATAATTATGAACTAGCCTGGAATATTGCAGTTGAGATTTCAAAGTAGCTATACAGTCAACTGAGAGCTTGTTTTCCTTTAAAATTGCATCTCATGTCCACCATTTTGTTATAAGTTTTAAGAAATTTCGAGCGATCGGACGACTATTAACTGTACGCTGACTAAATATATAAAACAGTCACCGAGTTGTGCTATAAATACACCTACAACGCATCGCACTTGCGACATGTTTTGTGAAATGGATCGCAGGACCGGTCGCAGCTGCCGCGCATCGTAGAGATACGACGTATCGCAGCGCTGCGATGCATCGTAATAAGTTACGATGAGTTTCATGAAATCGGGTGCTGGTGACTTTACAAATCAAAGCTGTATGCACAAACGTCTGACAGCTGGAACATCCAGTATGGCATTGGAGAGGTGCCTCTGCCCTGGCCGGCACCTTGCTATGGGGAAGTTTTATAGGACCGTGTTATGGGGACTTTTTCTGCTGTCCCCATAGCGTCTTTGGTCCCTATAATAACTACTTGGACGTAGTTTGGACGTAGCCTTATATTAGCCCAAATCATTTATTCAACTCTTTCAAAGAGCGCCTTCAGAAGTCTAGAGACGAATATGGGCACCTGGTCACTGTAGACGCATAAGGCCCCCTTCAATGGAGAAACCATTGTGCGCGGATTATCTGAACAATAGCTAGCACAATACTTCCACCATTGAAAGGGGCCTTCGTGATAGAATTACTGGCATGCCCGGATTGGTTTATACACAGAGTGAATGCATCAGTCCATTTCAACAGTTCCACAATTCATAGTTCATCAAATGTGTCACGGCTACCCAATATATGTGCAGGCTATGAAAGAACTTTGTTATAACTTACTGCAATTTGTCAAATGAATGGAATCTGTCTGCTTTTCACTGCCGTAGTTGTAGCCAAAATATACAATTTAATATGTATTGTGAAATTGCCCAACAAGTTCGCGCTGCTTACATGCGTCTCTGGTTTACGCGCAGCAAGAATGCATCGTCTGTGCAGGTGCTCTGCACTCAAATGGTTACCAATGTCGGGTTACTGCAGCATAGCTTTAAAGGGAAAATACAACATTTGCAAACATCAAAAAATAAAACTTCCAAATCATTTTGAAATACCTTGCTGGACTGTTAGTGAATGACAGTGTAAAGCATCCTGTAAAATCATAGCTCCTGGTATACTGTCATTTTCAAGAAAAGTGGTATTTTTGTATCAATTTCCAACGCTGATCGGCCGATCAGCGTTGGAAACAACTGGCTTTTTTTCAAATACTGGCCCCAATTGACCATCACACTTGTTTGCAATCGATTACAAACCTATGAACGGGTACGAGCCAGCTAGACTGGTTCCCTGACCTTACAATTCCCCAATGTATGTAAACTGCTCTGTTTCTTCGTATATGGAGTCAGGGAACCAGACTACAGGAAAATGATTGTTTTTCTTGGTTTTTATAGCATTTTCGAACCCAAAACCTAAAAAAAGTCAGTGTAACTATATTTGCTATATATTTCCAACCCCCCAATTCCATCCATTTCTGAAAATTACAGCAAAAGCAAATGATGTATATTCCCTTTAACGCGATTCCAAACATTACACTGCACATATTTCAGGAGAATTTCAGCACACAAGAAAAAGGAAAATACAGAGAACAGAAAACATCTCAGCCCCACGCTTCCTTCATGCAGTAATGTAGCACCAGCTTGCCATCACTACCATAGCACTGCAACGAGAGTACAAAAATTAAATGAGTTTACATTTTAAGAGGCCATTATTCCCTCTGAGTACAACTTTTTGAGGCACAAGGACCAGCACCTTGTTCCGTGGAGGGGTGACCACTAGCCTCAATCCATCAAACTCCTCCAACGATAATTGTAATACAATGAGGAATTGCCAATGATATCCAGAAGCTTTGTTGATGATACCTTATATAATCTAGACATAATTTATGCACGGCTAAGTATAAACAATGCAAGGTGTAGCTTAAGACCTTGACAGAATGCATCTGCCAAAATCAACTGGCACAAATATGGATTACAGCCTCAATACTCCAAAATCCTCCCGACCGCCTGGTTGATTTTGGAGGACTGAGGAGCGTTAGGGTCACGTCAAGAGGATGGTAAACATCGCTTGCAATTTTACCTCAAATAAGTTTCCGATTTCTTGGTCCGGAGCAGGGGCAAAGGCTTGGTTAACATAGAGAAACTAGGGACAGAAAGATTAAAAAAAAAAAAAAACATATTAAAAGAGTCAATATACATGGTACATAGATTTAAATTATTAGAACTAAATTTGAGATCAATATAACAATTTAAAGAGGTTGTGGAATGCTCGAAGACATTTCCGTCGTTTTTCGGGTATATGTAGCCTAAGGTGTGATGAAATAAAAACGACTATTGTGTCTGTCATGAAATTCCAATGCAGCGTAGTATAAACAAGTCCTGTTTATTACGTCACGATTTACTATGTTTTGTTTGCTGCCCCCAATTACACAAATTGCACGTTCGGGTCGAAACAGGACCTGACAAACAGCTCTCAAAAGTACCTTTTGTACTCATTTCATGACAGACACAATAGCCGTTTTTATTTCATCACGCCTTAGGCTACATATACGCGAAAAATGACGGAAATGTCTTCGAGCATTCCACAACCTCTTTAAATGTAGAGATTGAAATGTATTAGTTTAGAAGTGAAAGGAATGGATTTGCGTTTCTTTCATGAGTATTTTCAATGATGACAAAGTGAATCCGTTTGTCGCAGATCATTAGAATAGCTTGATTGACTTGGGACTCCATGACATGCAACTGACTTGTGATGGACTTGTGAGTGGTTTAGATGACTTGTGACGAAATTGACTAAAAACACTGTTGAAAGAGTTACAATACCATTTTTCGGACGTGAATGTGGCACGTGTACTCACCAATGAGTCGGTCTGTTCACACTTGAAGTACTTTCTGATGAACTCAATCACCCAGGAGACTTTCCTGGTCCGGGGAACGGCCCATTTCTTCTTCGCCATGATTGGAGCATCAGCGGTATTCTTGAGTAGCACATCAACTGGAAATGCAAAAAGTCAACACAGCTTCTTTTTTTTGTCAAATACACCTTAAAAGAGTCAACCATAGTATGGGCTCCGTGCGCCAACGAAAGACGGCACCCTTTTACCTAGCAACGACGTCCCATGGGCGGGACATTTAGCTGGTTGACGCGCACCGTTCCTTGTGTGTGGCACGCAGTGGTATGGCCGCGCCTCGTGGCAAAATTGCAGTCAGGCAAGATGGCGTCGGTCGGTCACCCCCAACTAAGCTTTCTTTGCCGGTGAGGGGGTACTTGTGAACGGAGCGGATAGCTGTTACAACCCAACTATGGCAATGTCCCAACTATAGTTTGGGCTAGAGTAGTTGGGAAATCCCAACTATAGGTTGGACGTAACACAGCAGGAGGGAAGTTGGGGAAAGAGTTCCATACCTAAACATCACTTGACACCCTGTGCACGAACCCTATGAGACTGGTTCTGAAAAATTCCAAGTGTTTTCTCAGTAATGCTTCAATATTTTCCCTGCAAAATTTGAATTTTTAGGACATGTTATCATCACTTTCTGATGGCTGATAGGTCACTGCAGCGACATATTAAGTGATATCCATGTATGGAATTCTTCCCAAAGTGGGGAGCAAATGTTTATTTGGCATGTTTAGGAAGGGGGCGTAATGCTGTGCGCAAGTTTACGCTTTGGATAGAGTCAGATTGGATGGAGTATGGCCCGCAACATAACTGTCATAACTGTCATAACATAACTGTCATAACATAACTGTCATAACATAACTGTCATGGTTCTAGAGAAAGTTCAGAGGAGGGCGACAAAACTAGTACCAGAATTAAGAAGAAAACCGTACAGCGAAAGGATGGAGCAGTTACACCTATTCCCACTTGAAGTGCGGAGAGTAAGGGGTGACCTTATTGAGACATATAAGATCCTGAATAGCTTCGACGATATTGATCCAGAAAAGTTCTTCTCCAAGTCCATTACGAGTACCCGAGGTCACAGGTTGAAGTTGTTTAAGAAGAGAATGCATAAAGGTCTCCAATTGAGGAAACACTTCTTCTCCCAACGGGTAATAAACAACTGGAACAACCTCCCAGCCTACGTCGTAAATGCCATGAATGTCAACCAGTTCAAGAATAGATTTGACAGTTACTTGAAAGAATCTGGATATGGGGTCTTAAAAGGCTTAAGCCTATAATTGATATTCCCATCAAATCTTAAGTGTAAGTGTAAGTGTTTAAAAATCAGACATGTCTTTTGTCTTTTTTTTGAGAGAAGTGTTTTTCTTAAAATAATTAGAAAATAGCAGGAAAAAAACATAACATTAACAAGCATGACAAGCAGATTCCAGTGAGGGAAAAAGGTCAGCTATTGTAAACAGTGAAGAGAATTGAGCTATTCTATAGACTATGGTAATAGTTGGCACTGGTCATGCTGGTTGGGAATTCCCAACTTGCCCCCCCCCCCCCTCCCATTCGTCCGGAATCTGGGCACAGTCATCTTGTGTCACACAAGAATTACCCTTATCATTCTTTTTCTTGGCTGGACTTGTCACCGTTGCGTCCTCTTTGGATTTGTCCTGTTGCGGCTGCACTGGTTCACCGTTTTCACTTGTGTCTTCAGACCTTTGGTCGGTTTTCGATCCCGATTCCGTTTCCGCCATGTTCACTTTTTCTTCACTTCGTGACTATGTATAGCGCCCCCATGTGCTCAATCTGAAGTAGTCAATAAATAGACCACCCGGCACAAGTGTTCGACGCATTTCTACTCGGCACTGTCACTGGAAATATATGAAATTTCAGCCTCACTGGACAACCGACACCGGTGATATTCGTCACGATGTTAATCAAGGAGTACAGGATATGCATGCCGCTCAGCGTCGAAGAAGTAAGGATAATTTTGAAGAAAGTTTTGACCTCGTAAACTTCGAGTTAACGCAAGGTTTGAAACCTTAGCCAAGGCGCTTTGCGCACGCAGCGAAGCGTATGCCATCGCCGCTGAAGGGCGACCGCTCTCTCAACGCAGCGCAGCATTGTCATTGAAATTGAATACAACTGTCCATTACTAGGACACTGTTGATTGTTCACTTCCAGTTTCATTGTTTGTTCGGTTTAAACGGATTTGCACTTTTGCATTTAACTGCTGCGTCTTCATATTCAATATGTCCAATGCATTTTATGTTCAATGTTTGCGTGAAAGTTTTGCGTGTGTGGGGGTGATGAGAATGAGAGATCTCAAAACTTTTGATGATTGATTCAACGAAAAATGATTGATCTGATCACAACACCAAAATTGTGTTCGTGTTTGTGTGTGTGTTCTGACCAAGAATGCAACTATTAATTGTTTTCCCCACCCCTCCCCATGGACTATAGTCAATAGGGCCTATTTTTTTTTTTTTTCCTTCACCATATTTAGGTTTTCTTGCAAGGAAATAGTCTCAAGTAAGGAAAAAATGTTGCAACCTGACGCCACTTTTTTCTTCATCTCAATGAAAGTCATTTAGTGCAAGTATGATGACAAGACATGAATCTGTGACTGAGAAACATTTCTAATTATGTTAGGAAATACTTCGACAATTTTCTTGACTCTCTATAGACTTTGTACACAATCGCGGAAGTGGCGTCAGGTTGCAACATTTTTTCCTCTGAAAGTAGGGCTTATCACATAGCCCCATAAATGTGGCCAATTTACCGGACTACCTCCGTAAACCTATGCCACACTTCCACATGTACAAAAACGTGTCGAACTTTGTCAAATTGTAATTTTCACATTTAGGCTTAGTTTGTAGGGGTTTTCTGGTTTAGAAGCATACTCACCCTCTTTATAGGCTAATCAGGAAGTGCTGCCTTTTTCAGATGTCTATTTTTCGTGAAATTTCCAGATTCATTTGCACACGTTTGCGTTTCAAAATTTGAACATGAAATACCACAAAAATTAGACATCTGAAAAAGGCAGCACTTTCTGATTAGCCTATAAAGAGGGTGAGTATGCTTCTAAAGCAAAAAAAATCTACAAACTAAGCCTAAATGTGAAAATCAAAATTTGACAAAGTTCGACACGTTTTTGTACATGTGGAAGTGTGGCCTATATTTACGGAGGTAGTCCGGTAAATTGACCACATTTACGGGCTAGGCTTATCACTTCGTAATAATGATTTGGGCATTAAATGAATTTTCGTATTCGTTGGAAGGTTTTTATCCTGGCATGCGACAGTTGTGGATCCCCCCTACACACAATGCAGTTTTGTGTGCAGTTTAGATGATGAATGCGTGACACATGACATGCGCACTGAGCGCGCAATGAATGATGAATTTGTACACATGTAACAGGTAGCGCAGCGTACGTGATCCTGAACTGTCAAAAGTGATCCACAACTGTCGATGTCGGGTTCAGTCCTGTACAAAAGCCATGATTTACATTGTATTTTCCTTTATCTTAAAGTTGAGTCTGTGTGCACATATGTGGTTTTAACTTGAAGAAGAGGAATTTCATTATGAAATGATGTCACTCGGACACGGGTGCAAAGCGGCTTGTATAAAAAGTGATCCGGAATAAGGTGTTTCACAGTAATATGCGCCATCTGGTTTGCGGGGCAAAAAGAGCACGCGTTGCTAGATCCCGGCACATTTTGGAATGAACGCATGATGACTTGGAAGCGCCAAAGATTTCCATTGACGATGCGTACACAGCAACGCGTGTAAATTTGCCTCGCAGGCAAGGTGGCGCATATTACCTTGAAACACCTTATTGTTGCACTGATAGTAGTACGACAATACTCCCAAGTACGACAATACTCCACTATGGGTGGATGTACTCGGTGGAAGAAGAAGTATTAGTACTGATTGCCCTGCCACGCTCTTAGTCTTAGCAGTGACAACCGAGTTAATGTAAACAAATTCAGAGTTGAAACTCGACTGTAATTTTATGGAACCTTTGGGCAAAATGTTTGCTGGAAATGATTCCAATTTCAAAATGCATTTTCTCCTTCCAGCACAGATGTTTAGTGAATTTTCAGTTCATCAAGTGTGCGACAAGTTGTGCATAGTCAGAATATGTGTGTCATTGCATGCATGGTCTGAACGTACACGTATGCATATTCCCATGGTTGCAAATTGCCCAACACATTAGCAATAATAACTCCCCATGTACAGATCTCTCTATTGATGCATCGGTACAGTAACAGTCACAGAAAGGCGCGCATTGGTGACGTCCACTTTAATTTCCTCTTCACGGTGTGATTATTTTTCCATACGCAGATAACATTAATGCCTGACCTAGATTCCTAAGGGCTCACTGAGATAATGGGCGGGGATGGAACTATATGGCCCTGAGGAAGCTTAGGAGTAATCCAATGTGTAATAACATCTCCACGGTCAAGGATCGCTATGCGTAGGTGTGTTGGCTTATAGTGTCTCTGAACTCCCAGAGTTGAGTGCGACTGTCGAGTTTGGATGATTGATTAAGGCTTTGAGATTTTTGACTGTTGACAGACCTTGACTGTTGAGATTTTGTAGTTTCTTTGACAAAGGGAGGATAGTTTTTGTGTTCATTGCAATTACCAACTACATGAGCTCAAAGTGAGGTGAAAATGTGATGTTTTCATGGGGAAATGTTTCGCTATGATTGAATACCCATTTGGCCGAATAAAAAAACCCAACATGTTTCTCGTCCGGGTTTTTGAAAAAAAGGAGGAAGAGGGGCTTTTTATTTTTAATTTTTTTCAAGATGGCCGCCATTTTCAAATTTCCTGCAACCGTTGGTGTTTCCACTGTTCAAAGACACTTTTAAAATGAAAGACAAGTTGGACAAGAGAACTGAACTTATTTACAGTGTCAATATAATTGTCAATAGAGTTGTATTGGTCTACAATGAACAATTTTCCGATGAATTTGTGGACTTTTTCGGGTTTTTTCTGCTGCATTTTTCAAAAATAAAAAACTTTAAAAATCCAGGCGGCCTCCAAAAAGGAAGCGGGCGGGGACGAGAAACATGTTTGTTTTTTTACTTCGCCTTATTATTATTATTAAAGTTAGGGATGTCCAGAATATGTATAATATCCAAATATTCAATCATCAACCAAAAAATATATGAATAGCTTTTTGCCGGTTGGAATATTCGAAACCAAAAAACCTATGCACGTACACACACGACTGTGATGTTATTTTATCGTAAAGTTTTGCACTTTATTGTCAGGGTGCCACTTTTCCCCCCATCCTTTTAGCAGGTTTTAAGGCCTTGACTTTCCAAAATACTTGCAAATTTTAACTAGCGCACTCTGCATGCAACTTTTGACCGGTGCGGCATGCAGTTGCAGGTGGCAGTTTCGAATAGCCAAATAGTCGGTCAAATGCAGTTTCAAGTAATTGAATATTACTAAAATTATTCCAAAACGGACAGCCCTAATTATTAATTAAATTTGTGTTCCCCGTGCTCTTTTACAAATCAATTTTTTTCTTTAAGTAAGTCCTTTTCCCCCCATTTTTTTGACATCTGCAACACTCTGAAAAAGACTTTTGTTTTGGGTACAAATAGATCTGCTTTGAGCAGACTGGCTCCCGGTCCGTACATTTTTTACACTGATTGTGGGGCGGGAACCAGCCTACCCCGCAAGAACGGAATTATTGTCTGGCAGTCAATAATTAAAAATTGTAAAGTAAATATTCAGCAACTAAACGCAGGCCGATTGTTTTTGTTCTACGTCTCATTCAATAGTGAATAAGTTTTGCATTGCTAGAAAATAGCAACTTAAAAAAAGGATCAAGTTTTCAGGATGAGCTATAGGAAAATAGCACTTGGACCACCATTTTAATACATGCTGGCTTGTTCAGCTTAGATACATACCAACAGGTTTGAAGTAATTAAATCTTTTTATTACATTTGTTTGATTTTCAATTCATGATTGGTTGTGTAAAATGAGACACTCTGTCAGCTGCAGCTGATTTCACTAAACAGTACGTAACTTCTGTCATGCGTAGGACTTACATGTTGCGCATTAAAACTTACGGTTGATTTCACGAAAGTTGGCGTAGCTGCGCAACGTTTTAAATACTTTTAAATGTCTTAGACGAGGAGATTATATATCAGCATTTTCAACGGCTGTTTGTGAATGATTGTGTTCAGTCACGAAACGGTTGTTGAATCAACTCCACCCGCCATTTTGAAATGAATTTCCTCCAATTTTCTTCAGTAAAATAGCAAGTTATGTGCCTAAAACACAATTATATGCTCCACGACGATCACGATTGGCTGGTAAAATAGGTCATTTTCAGTCGCTACGCTACAACTTACGCCACCTAAAATGATTGCGCAAGTTACGCCATAATGTGTTGCGTAAGACCTTGCGTAAAGGTCTTACGCACAATCATTTGTGAAATTTGTGAAACGTTTATGAAATTCTCATAACTGAAATGTTGCACAGCGTGAAATGTTGCGCATTTGTGACCCGCTCTGCAAAAATGAGTCTGATGTCGCATAATTTGAATTCAAACTTTTGCCATTTTGAAATGGAAACAGTAAAAATTTGCTCAAAATTTGGATTTTTTTGTTTTTGTTGTATTTTGGTTGTTTGATAGTTTTAGTTCAAATATCTTACACAGAAATGTAAATGTTGTAAGAAAAAGAAAAAAAATTATGAATCTTTGGTGCTTTTCTTGGTTAGTTACAGTGCATTTGTCATTTTTCAAAGCCTTTTTTCTCCATTGAGACACTTCTAGCGTTGCAAAAACTTTACAGAATGAAACAAGCACAACAATGCAACCAAACGTCCTAGAGAGGTCCGTGATATACCAAATGAAAGCTTATTTCATTCCCATTTTATTAATGTAGTTAACTCAAAATGTCAGTTTTGCCACAACAGACTTATTTTTGCGGAGCGGGTCACATTTATGCATTTAATTGTGGTGCAGGTAGAGTTATGCCATTGCGTACAAAGTCTGGT